TCGGCGGTAATATTTAAATTTATATTGCGGTGGCTGTCCCGCTTACTGTTCGTAGTTTCGGTGTGCCGCTGTCCCGCTAGCCCTTGGTCTCACCCCTCAACGTGTTGGGCCATCAATTCTTCGTTTAATGCCTGCGCAAATATTTGCGCAATCAGCAAACAAAACAAGCACCGTCGCCGCCGGAGTGCCCACTGTTTGAGTAAAGCAATTGACCGTTGCTCCGGACACGGCAATTTACGTGCTGAAGGCAAAAGCAACAGCAACAGCAACAGCAGCACGGGCAACAACAATATAATAACAACTACCGCAACAGCACCGCAAACTCTGCTTCCGTTTCGGCTTGTCCTTGAACCGCCAAAGCGCGATGCGTGATGCGTGATGTGTGCCTCACGTTGCGTTGACCGCGCTATTTGTGCAGCATACATAAACTGCACGGCCTGCTCAAACTCACCAGGAGACAAAAACTATTGCTATTTGTTTTATATATTTTGCTTCAGACCAGCAGACCGGCTTACTTTTGGCTCACGGCGCGTGCCGTAAATAACCTTGTTAATCATTTAATTTAAGCACGCACACATGATAGCTGCATCGGCCCCTCTCCGGACCCCTCTTCAGCTGCCCTGACAACAGATTCAAATATATGGCGCTGCTGTAACCCGGCTGTCCAAAAACCTTTCGGCGCTCTTAATTTATTGTGATTTGCTTTCTGCTGATTGCTGCCAAGCTGTATAAATGCTGCTGGTCATCGACAACCAAAGTCAATAGAATAGTTCTGTACACTTTCCATGTGCTGGGATACTGAATGAATTGACCTTGGCCTGGCTATAATTAAACGTTAGTGTCTCTATATTTTGCACTCTTCTATTTCGCAAATCTCAGCTAATTCTCATATTTAACAGAAGTTCAATTTATTATTTCTATTTTATCATACTGAAACCTATACCACATAAAAACAGTTGAAAATCACTTTAACATGATTAAATCATTTTGCTTTCTGATTTTTAATGAGTAGCTGATTCAGCTCTACAGTTAGAATGGTAAGAAAACCCAATTTCAAATATCAACCTCTGAGCGATTCGTGTGACTGACTGTTGCTCTTTTGACATAATTAATTCATTAAGTATAGAGTATCGGGCAATGCAGTTATAATTTCAATATTTTAACACCAATTTTGGTTGACATTTTGTTAATTGCCTCTCTTGCCTGTGTCGGCTACATAGCTGTGGATCACTGAGCCCATTGGCCATATTGGAAATGTAGGCGAAGAGGTTATTGCATATTTTTGAGCGCACATTCAAATATTGCTACCAGGAATACATGATTGAGGCATACAACAACAAATTCGTATCTTGACTGTCGTATTAGTTATTCAATAAAAGATTTCAAATCATATCAAGATATCTTCGAGTCGGTCTCTTGCCACTCGCCACTTAATGAAGTTTTAGATAATCGTTCACAATAATCCTATGGTCTATTTAAATAGCTGATTTACTTAAAAACGTCATGTCTTCTTATTTAGCTATTTCAATTAAAGTATGCAAAGGATTAACTTTAAATATGATTTCAATTGATCTTAAAATTTTGTATCCCAGTGTGAAGAGAATTAATAGTCGGACAAACAGGACTTCAGCACTCAGGCATTGTGTTAGTTGACGTTGGGTTAATTACGGTTTCTTCTCAGTAAACAGCCGAACGAGCTGTGGGCCACGGGGCGTATGAGTACTATGCAGAGGAGTGAAGGTTGTTGCATACTTTTGTGCGCGAATTTAAATATTACTTGCGCACAGAGACACACACAGTTGCTGCCCGTTGCACGTTGTGCAAATGCAAGTATTTACTATTTATTTACAAGTTACATAAGTACGTGCTAGCTGCCCTTTAGCCGTCTCTTTCTCGAGCGCTTCTGCCATTCGGCCCTGGCGCATTTTATGCGCTAAAAGTCGCACACACAAAAATGCAAAAGTATAAACATTCTTGCGCTGGCAGCTGTAAAAGTTTTCGGTAAACGCATTTCAAACACTCGCCGAGATAGTTATTACAATTGTACACAAAAGTAGCAGCAACAACAACAACACAGCCGAGGCAAGTTGGAAAACTTGCAGCATTTTCTTCAAATGAAATGCAAAGCGCACAACGCAGCAGCCATCGAATTGCAGCAAGGCTGAGTAGTGGGGCAGCGGGGGCATAATATTTACAAAGCAGTTCTCTTCTTTTTGTGGCGTGTTGCAAGATAGAAGCCATTTGTGAAGTGCAGTTAGCTTTGATCGGCATATGGGCGTGACGCTGCCAGGCGGATGTAGACGAGCAAGCCGGAAGCACCGAGGACGAGGACGTCGACTGCTGAGCCAAACATCCGCTGGACAATTGATGAAAGCGTTGTATGCAAAGCAGAGCAATACAGTGCAACGTAGTGCTGAGTAGGGCATGCCATAAGTTTTGGGGCAAGTAGTAATGCAAGGAGCATTTGCCGTGTGGAAAACTTTTGTGCAGATGCTGACGAGCAACGGCGGGATGAACCTGGGTTCCGCTATCTGGCGAATACAGCTCTCTATGTATATCTATATATATATATATATATATATATATATGTATATATCTGTATATATCTGTATATATCTGTATATGTATACATCTTATCCAATTCTTTCATGTTGCTGTCGTAAGAGGTCCTGCGCATCGTCGCCTGATGTTTTTCGTTTCGTTTCGCGCCAGCAGCAAAGTGCACAGCGCCAAAGTTTTGTTTACAAAGTTTTCAAATTTTTGTGGCACCCAGTTGAACTTCCTGTTGCCTGCTGGCTGCTGCTTGCTGCTTGCTGGCTGCTGCCTGCCGCGCTAAGCGCCGCTCACTTCCGGCTGTTGATGATGTTGCTAGCAAGGCAGACCCTCACTCCCAGCAAAAACGTCGCCTTCTGCCATTGATAATCTAACAATATTTGCGGCTGTTGTTGCTGCTCTCAATGAAGTGCACCTCCTTAAATGCCTCGATAGCTCGTTCCATTTCTTTCTGTGCAGCTGGTGGCATTTGAGTGTCAGCCGCGCCGCTTCAACACCAATAATCCATCATTAGCGCCACATGCCGCAATTATGTGTATGTGTTGAGTCTATTAAATTTGCCTGTCTGGTAAATGATGCAGAAAATGCAGCTCTCGAGCTGCTCGACTCAAACTTGTGACAGTGGCACTTACTTGTGCGTCTATTTGCCATCAGCACTTCCTGCAGCTCCTCCAGCTTGTCATTGCGTGTAAAATTATGTCAACGCTTGTCAACTTTTATGTGCAGCAAGAAGTTTAGCCAAGTGCCACGCCCACCTTCGAGCCCATGCGCCAAAGTGGCTTTGAGTGTGCATTGAGCGAATGAATGAAAGTTTCTTTTGCCGCGCATGTTTACTTACCGAGTGTGTGCGTGTGTGTGCGAGTTCTGTGTGTGTCGCCGCCATTTGTTATAGACTGTGCATAAAGAGTGCAGTTGCAAGAGGTTGCACCACTCGCTGTGCCAGTTGCGCAAAGTGTCTGCAAACTTTTTAAATTTAAATGTGAAATTTACGCACACGCACACTCAGCGAGCTCACTAAAGTAGCAACTTTAATATAGCAACTTTTGTGTTGCCCTTCAAGTTTAGCCACGCCCCCACATTTAAGCGGGCATTAGCGCGCCGCAGCGCGCTTTCTTATTAAAACTTATGCTCACTTTTTCCAAATTGTCCCGGCTAATTAGCTTTCTTAGCAGTCTGCTCTGCCCCAATTTTTATTTTTCTCCTTTTTTCCCTTGCTTTTTGTGTGCTCGCTTAATTTGCAGGACTGCAAACTCTTTGCTGCCTGCCCCCAGCCAGAATTAAGCAAGTTTTACACGCCACTTTATGCTGCCACAAAGCGACAAGGCAGCACTCGCATCGATGCATGAAATTTGGCTTGGCCGCGCCTTGGAATTTATCTTATATATCTGAATAATTAGGTAGCACCCAAATAGTAACTGTATAACTCTATACACGTATATATCGTTTTACTGTATGTTTCTGTAAATGAATGCAATTAAGTAGAACTAAAAGAACATGTTGAATTAATATTTACATTAATTTTTTTTATAACTATTTTTTTTTTGTTTTGTCTGACTAATATACATATGTATATTCATTTTTTTTTTCATTTTATTTTATAATCTATTTTTTTTTTTTGTTTTATACAAAAGTGTATCTCATTGTTTTCTGCTTAATTATATTTTCCTTTTATTTTTATTTTATAAGTAATATTTAAAAAAAAATTATTTTTTATATATTTTATACTTTTCTTTTTTTTACATTTATTTATTATGACATTATATAATTATATAATTATATTTACTGTTTTTTTAATATGTGTATGCTTAACATATATTTTTTCTTTTATAGTATGATTACAATAAATTCATTTGCAAATTTTATTTACATGCACTGTTTTTCTTTTTTTATTTAATTTTTTTAGTAAGTTTTACAATTGTTTAAGCACTTGTATCTGACTGATCGCCTAGTTATATGCATATAGAAGATCAGTATATTTGTATGATAATGACACCAGCTCTGGCAAACTGAGAAGCAGGCACTTCTACCCACATAACTGACGCACCACGTTGTTAAGCAGAAGTATACATACATACATACACACACACACACATACACTTACAGACACACACAATCCACATATAAGCAATATATATATATATATCTCATACACAACTTATATGATAAGTGTCTACTCTTTTCCTTTTTTCGTCTCTTTTACGCTCTGAAATTTCATTTTCCGATAACTACCACAACAAATGCGCCCAACAACCAAACCACCAAACACGCACACCACCAACAACAACAACAACATCACCACCACCACCAACTGCTAACCATGACACTGTTACAACTACAACAACAACAATTGTTATGTTTTAACCACCAAAACCTGCAACACCTGCAACAACACCACCTGCAACACCACCACCAACAACACCTTCAATACCAACAAACACCACAATCAGAGCGTGCCAGTACTGCGCACATTTGGCGGGCATCACATCGCGTAGCGGGAACTTAACGTGGCCAGCACCACCAACGTCAGCAATACAGCAACAACAGTAGCAACAGCAGCAGCAACCACTTGCTCATCATCAGCAACCACCATAACCACGCCCACAGGCACACCACCTCTGCCACCGTTGCCCAACACATTTATAGCGATCAAAACGAAGAACGACAACAGCAACAGTAACAACACCAGCAACAGCATCACTTTGCACAGTGGCAACAACAGTTTTAAGTCAAACGCTAACAACAACAGCAATACAAACAGACGATCGCCAAATGCACAGCAGCAACCGCCGCCGTTGCCCATGAAAAACGGCAGCAAGCAGAATCAGCAGCAACACGACCCACAATACCAACATCTCAGCTACAACATGACACATCTGCAGCACCTAAATTCACGCACCAACAACACGCTCGATCGCAAACACGCACACAGTGAGGGCAATGCTGGCGGCGACTACTGCACGCAGATCAATCCGCATTATCTGCAGACCTTCGATAGCTTAGATCGGGATCATTACAGCGTGACTAATCTGCATGCTCATCCGCATCGCAGCCAGTCCAAGTCGCAGATCTATAGCTATGGCAGCAGCGGCACCGCCAGTGACACCTCCAATCAGCAGCAACAGCAACAGCATCCTCAGTATCACAGCAGCAGCAACATCGCGCACATTGAGCACCACTATCAGCAACACAGTCATCCACACCAACAGCAGCAGCTGCAGCTGCAGCAGCAGCAGCTGCCACACCACCACCAACACCACAGTCTCAGGCACACGAAACATAGCAAGGGCCACAAGAACAAGCACAGCTCAAAGAACAGCAAGTCACAGGATGATTTTAAAGCCATGCACAAGCAGCAGCAGCAGCAGCAGCAGCAACTGCAACAAAAGTGCAGCAAGCAGCAGCAGCAGTCAAGCAAACGCACCAGCAACAACCAGTTGTTGCCACAGCAACCACAACAGCAGCATTATTCCAGTTCCAGTGATAGTTTACCATTTGATAATAACTATTATTAAAGAGGCACGCACACACACACACACACACACTAAGTCACTCACACACATTCAGAGTCACTTATTGCTGTCTCCGTTGTAAAATGTTGTCGATGCCCAAAACGCACATCCAATAACAACTCAATGGATTGACACACACATGCATACGCATTTATATAAATGAAAGAGCACACACACAGTCACACACACACACACACACACACACCTTGAATGATACCTACACGCAGCACTTTGAATTGTCTTTGATTTGGTTTTTCGGAATCCGAAACAATTTACAACATTGCCAAAAATCTAGCATACTTTATATACATACACACACACCCCCACACACTCACACACGCCCACACACACAGGACACACACACATTTGAAAGTTATGCTGCTCTGCTAATGGCAGCTGTTTGTGTTGTTGTTTTATTGAATTGAAAGTCGAAAGCCACAAAATATTAAAATGGATTTAGCATAAATTAATTACAACTTAAATATTTTATAAACTAATTTAGAGCGTAGTTGAAATACCAAAATAACAGAAATATTTATAAAATATGATAGTGAATGGAAAATTACCAAATGTTGTAGGTCTTCGCAGCCAAAAAAAAAATAAGGAGTCATTTATTGTTAAATGTGGTCAATATGTGTGTGTATATATATATAGCTATCTGATAAGCATAATTGTATACTTAAGATATGTTTAATGACTAAGATTCCGCCCCTGCCCCTGCCCCTGCCTCTGCCCTTGCCCCAGCCACTGACCCAAGCTCACCTGAAGACCCCCACTATTAGCCTCTCTCTGTCTCTATCTGTTTCTCACTCTTTCTCGCAGTCTTCGCTAATCAGCTGTTTATTTATTTATTTCATTAACAATTTGCTTGAATTAACTGCCAACAACTCGTACACAACAACAACAATAACACATACAAAACAACAACTACAACATACAACACTACTCCCACTTATATAGTCCTCCACTTTGGCCAGCGCAAGCGCGCACGATGAGCTTGGCAATCTGCTCTGGCAGCAGCAGGCCAGCGAATTCATTGAGCAATACCCCTGCCCGTTGCCGCCCATACGCCACTGCCCCGCCCACACGCATGGGCATCGCCCTCACAGTGTGGGCGAGCTGTTGTCCACAGAGCAGCGACACCAGCGCGACTTGTTCAGCGGCGATCTGGGCATTCCGGAGATCCAAACACACGTCGGCAGTATGGTGCACACCTTCGAGACGCTGGCACTGCAGCGACGGCTAGCCGAGGCCGAGCAGCAACGAGATCGTGAGCAGAGTAAGTATGAGCTACGCCGGAGCGACAACAGTATTAGCAACAGCAACAGCAACAGCAACAGCGAAATCAAATACAGCCAAGTGAAGCGTAGGTCGCAGGAGCTGCGGCAACGTCTGCAACAAATGCAAAGGCAAAAGCACAAGCTTCATCCACAGGCACTGACACAGTCACAGTCACAGCATCAGAATCTTCATCCTTATCGTCATCAGCATGGTCAATGCATACTAACCGCACATGCACCAGGCAAGCTCATCAGCAGCTGCAGCACCCAGAGCCTGGCCAGTCAATTGGCTACGCTGCCACGCCCAGCACCGCCGCCCACAGGTGCACATTCCACAGAGCAGCTGCGACAGCCATACGACGACTATCGCAAGAATCTGTTTGGCACTCGTGTGTCCAGCGTGGAGGAGCTACAGGACGAGACGTACATTGTGAATGCGGCCTTTGACGAAATATTTGCACGATATAATGACGATGGCGAGGAGCTAGAGACGGAGCAGGAAGCGCGGAGCAACACTCTACAGGAGACGACACGCAGCTACACCAACACGAATACGATTACGAATACAGATGACCTATTTGACGATGAGCACATGCTGGTGAGCCTTAGCGAGCTAGACGACGATGTCTTTGCCAGTCGAGCTCAAACAGCTTCGACCACGCCCACCACAGCTTGCGCAGGCCGCACGCCCAGGCACAGTCAGAAGTATGCTGCGCCAGCGCCACCGATACTCCAGCAGCGGTCCAGCACTTTGACGAATCTCTTTGAGCGCTTTAAAGGTAACTCCACAGCGGGAACAGTCAACAAAACACACTCCGAGCAGGAGTTGCAGCCTTTGCCTCCAGTCTCGACTCCCTCCAAGCTGCACAAATACGCTGCGCAGCCAGCGCTGAATGAGGAACCGGACTTCAATCGTGGTTCCACGCTGAGCCAGTCGTTTGTACGCCAGCTGAAGCGGGTGTCCTACAAACAGAAGCGCGCACCACCTGCACCACCGCCAAAGCCGCGTTCCAATGTGGCGCATGTGACGCCACTGCGCAACGCTTTGATCTTTCCCAAACGCTCGAAGTCCTCCAATGAGCTGCTGCTCGACGATCTGAATGTGCAGGCGCGTAAGTATTTTCGGCGGTCCGAGCACAGCGCCGCGGTCTAAGGAATCACCTGGAGATTGGAAAGCAAACTGCACCGCCTCTCACCTAATTTGCTCACCTGCTAACCACATTCATTATATGTGCATCAAAATACCCTTTGCAAGCCAATCGAATTATAATAAATTTTCTATTGATTCAATTTTTGGTAGAGGCGACGCTTTTGTAGACTAAGTGTGCCTGCCCCTCTAATGACCCATGATACCGATAACGATAACGATTCAGCGTAGCTATCCCGCCGTCGCAAACTAACAATCGAAAGGAGGCAAAATGTTTCTCTTAATGAGGAACAGCTGAAACGAGCCCAAAGAGATTTACGCCATAATTGGATTGATACTTGATATTTCAGCACTCTTAAAGCCAGCTAATTGAGTATATTACCATAATAATAATAAGTACTTACAATATTTATAATCATTATTACGTTTATGCAAAGCGAACAAAAACCAAATATGTAGTTGTATTTGTAAGTCCTCAGCTTATATACATATATGTATACATATATATTGATATATTATGTATATATAAATATATACATACATATATGCTTAAGCTGCATGCGATTCAAAATATATAGGCATATTATACAGTAAAGCGCAAAACACAGAAATCATTAACAATATATATTCATGTACAAAATGAAAAACTTTCAAAGAAAATAAAAAATTCTGCCCATAAAATTTATGCATGTTATTTATGTAATTTTTTCGAAAGCAAAAATCAAATTAAATATATATAAATATATATATATATATATATATATATATATATATATATATATATATATATATAGATAGAAAGTTCGCATATAATATATACTAACTAATTACGGCCTTTTGTATATGGCAAATAACAAGAATTTGTGTAATTACGTAATCTGTTGTAACTTGTAGGCTAAACATAACAAAAGCTATTGTAAACCCATAACAAGAAGGCAAACATAACTAAACCTTTATGTGCATGCAATAAAAAACATCTAAAATTATCGTCCTGCATTTGTTATTGAAGTATAAAGCAAAAGAACCATGTTGGAAGATCACAAAATATTCGATTGATTTTGGAAAATTTTTTATTTTTATTTAATTTAATTTATTTAATAGTAATAGTAAGTAGGAAAACTAGACAGTTCTTATATACAAATATAACTCCAGGATGTTAAAGGATTTGAATAATGGAAGAAATATTTATGTATAGTATATATATTCGACTATTAAAATTAATTTAAATTTATTTTTTTACAAGCATTTTAAATTTAAATATTATACATTTTGCCGTGAGCTTCAGTCAATTCAAATTACACTTAGTCTACCTGGCATTTATTTGGCTAATAATTTGAAATCAGCTTATCAGTCTAGTACAAACTAGGACGCCAAGTCTTCAGAGGCTATTGTAGCCACAGGCAGGCAGGATTTGAGTTGATGCTTCTTCAGCTGAATGAGACGACTGAAGGTCTTCAGGCAGATACTACAGCTATGCCGTCGCTCGCCCGTATGGATGCGCTCATGAGTGCGCAACACACTTAACTGGGCAAAGCTGCGATCACAGAGTGAACAGGCATATGGACGCTCGCCCGTGTGAGTGCGCTTGTGCAGCTCAAGCAAATAGACGCGGGCAAAAGTACGGTGGCACACGGTGCAGGTGTGTGGCCGTTCCGACGTGTGCAATGAGGTAATGTGTCGACGCAGATTACTGGACTCCACGAAGCCTTTCCCACAGTACTCGCACTCATATTCCACCAGCTTTAGATGTCGCTTTTGGTGTGTCACAAGTCCGCCGTTTGTCTTAAAAGTCTTTGGGCAAGCGTCGCAGGCAAAGGGTCGCTCACCATTGTGAAGGCGCAAATGCATGATTAGGCTAGATGCAGACTGCATGCACTTGCCACAGTGCGTGCAACGATGACGCGAACGCATATCTGAGGAAGGTGCCTCGGATACAAAGCAGTTGTGCCTCTCAAAATTGATATGCTGTGTAAAGCCATGGGCACATTGACTGCAGCTGTATATCTCTGCAGCAGGATGCACCTTGCCAAGATGCCGCTGCAACGTGGCAGCCTGCTGAAAGGTGGCGCCACAGTCATCGCAGCTGAAATTGGCAACAGGTAGACTTTCATTTCGCTGTTCTGTCTCATTTATATCCACAGACGGCGTTCTTTCATGTCGCTCCTCCGTCTCGCATTCTTCGTAGAGTTCAACATTTTCACTGGGATCGAATTCAATTATATCATCTGCACTTATTGCCCGCTCTGCATCATCGTCAACCACAAGCTCTGCGTCACCCAGAAAATTACCACCAATTGGTGCTTCTTCGCCCTCAAGCCGCTCAACAGTTCGCTTGCGTAGCTCTTCTTCCGTTGCTGCACATTTGTCCCGAAACTTGGCAGAGATGAGCAGTTCCTTTGTACACTCCTGGCACAAATACTTCGGATATGCATCCCACTTATCGACCTAAAGCAAGCATAACTCCAATTATATACAAGTATTCAACAAATATTTTGTAAATTCACCTTAATGTCGCCACAGCGCTCGAGCAATGTGCATAAGTCAGTCTGTTGTTCCTCCACATGTTCATAGATGTCCACCAAAAGTTCGTCTTGCTTAAGACAAGCGCGACAAAGCAACTCACTTAGCTCAGCTGGCATTTCTTCCTTACTATTTATTAGCTTGGAATTTAAAAAGTATTGTATATATTCTCCCATGCGGATGTTTATTCTAGTTAAGCGCGTTCAGGCATTTTTAGTACGTTTTAAAAACAGCTGTTTTCCCTGGAGTTATCGATATTGGTGATGTGAAATTTCAATGGCGCGTATTTTAAGTGTTTTTACCGATATTTTCGCAACATGCCGATGAACAAAAATTAAAATGTTTAATTTCGTGGTTGATAAAAAAAATTGTTTTCTTTCGACTTTTTTGCATAAAAATATTAAGGCAACTAATATTCCGAAATAAAATGTAAAAATGGTTTACTTTAAAAAAAATCTCATTTATTTCCTTTTTATATAATATACATTTCCTGCAATTTAATAGCATTTATTCCAGATCATCAAAATAGCCCAGATATAAATAGCGTTTCAGAATATTTCTAACATCCTCTAGATAGGCCTCATTATAGTAGAGACCCAATCTTAGTTCTCTATCTTCTATCATTTTAGATATCTCAAAGTTTGCTCCCTTCATTGCAGTCATCACAGGCAAGAATGTTACCAGCAAAAAGAATTCTATGAAAAGATATAATTTAAAAAATTGATACTAAAATTATGTTTGGATTTTCAAAGCTTACCATAATACTTATGTCGAAATATCTGTTTTCGAAACTCGACTAAAGTGGGAAGCTCGCCCTCAAAATTTAATTTTTTTAAGGTATCCGTGAAAGTCGAAAAGTAAATGTAAATCAATTCGTCGCGCTGATTTTGCCGTTGCTCTGGCGACAGCATCTGATAGATAGAGTAAAGTATATCATTAGGCATAGGACCCACATTGCTCATTTGGAAGTCCAACAGCATACAGTCCTCAATTGTTCCGTCTTCTTTGTTGTACTTAAACATTAAGTTCTTCACATGAAAGTCGCCATGACACAGTACATAAAAAGCATTTTCTTGGGGATTTTGTCTGTACTCCTTTAAAGTGTCCCTGCAGCGTTGCACATAGTGTGGTAATATTTTCTCGAAATATGGCTTATATTCAGTCAGATCTGGTACAGCATCGAGCATTTTGATGAATATATTCATCCCATTCAAGAAGAATTTATCTTCGTCGATTTTGGGCAGGTCAAACAAACTGTAGCTGAGATCCTTTAGGATTTCTGGTTGTTCTTTGTTCAATTTATAGCTCACAGCATGCCATTTGGCCAGCTTCAAGTATGCACAACGAACCTCCTCAAAAGTCGGCTCCCGATCACGAAGTACAGTATAACCCTGTTCCAATAAATCATTAAATACCATTACCTGTCGTGGCTTCAGGCTATAATAGATGCAAGGCCCGTGCAATTTCGTCTTATCTCCCACCTCAAGCAGTATTTGCTCAAACTTGGGCAGGATCGTCGAGTACATGTTAATCTCGGTATCGAATATATGCGACTCACTCAGCATCTGCTTCTTGTGGCCGTCTTGCTCAGGCATGGTCTTAATGATCAGCGACTTGAAGGACTTGTCCCCCTTTCTGCTTTTATACTCCACGGCAGCTCTAAACATGATGCTCGCATAGTGATCGCCTTTGGCTGTCGCAGGTGTGATCTGAATGTCAATTATCTCCACTTGATCATCATTTTCATGGGCGCTCAGCACGTCTTTGAAGAATTGAAAGTCTAGCCAAGAGGGCGCTTCCAGCTCATCCTCATTATAAGATTCTGTATTTGGTGCCATTTCTCAGATAAAAAGTTGACGAAAAACACAGTCCGAAGATTCCAAAGCAACGTTCTCTAATACGCGACACACAGAGTGTGGGAGAGCTTTTATACATCCCGTTATCAGCGCATATCTTAATAACCAGATGAACTTATCTAGGCTCAATATATCTTGTTACTTGCACAGTCATTTTATATAATTTAAAAGTCATCTTTGAAACAAGTATTTTGTATAAAAAATCTTGATCAGGAACTAGGTTACATTTCTATAAGTTTTAATTATTTTTGTGATATTTTATATATTTATATTTATATCCAGCGTGCTAAATAAGAGCCTTATTGTTGTTAATAAATATAAAGGTACTGCAGAAGAAACGTAGTTAATAACCAAGATAGTTCTTATTTTAGTATTGTAGTAATAATAATTATAATTTTCTACATTTGTTATTATTATGTCTATGTCTGAGGCTTACTTCCTCTTCATACCCTTATCCCATTGAATATGGGCATTAAAGGTACTATTAATTCGTTAAAAAGTCTGTAACATGCGGAAAGACGAACTAATTCCAACGCCATAAGAGATTCTTGATCTATGCCAGTCTGTTGTGATTTGATCCCGAAAGATATAGACCACTTTCATTTTACACGTAGAATAATTTCAGGGCATCGCCTATTCGGTAACTGCTGACTAGGGTATTCTTCTTGATGTTAGTTCAAAATAAAACTTTGATTTCAAGCCAATGACATGTTAGACAACTCAGTAGTGAGATACGCAAAGCAGAATATCTGCCAGTTAGCTAGTTTTTTATAGTAAATACTTGTAAATATTTCATTGCCACGGTGAAAAAGTTTCGTAAGATAAGAACAGATACGCCTTAAATGCAAACTCATGGTACAGTGGGTCATTTGTTATCAGTGATAAGAAATATTGTGTTTGATTCTGTCGTTATATAGATAATAAAAAAGAATGATAGCAATTGAAAATTAATTGTTACGATTATTTATTGAATCTCTTTTGATAATCTCTCCCTGTAAACAATATAGTTTATTGCAATGCATAGAATTTTTGTATATATATTGTAAAATAAGATTTGATCTACTCTATCCCAAATTAAATACAGCAACAATATTTATTGCGTTTGCTATTGTTATTATGAGTAATAGTAGTAGTAAGAGCAGTTTACTTAATTTAATTAATATATTTTTAAAAATGTCACAGCGAATATATCTTTATGGCTCTTGAAGTTGTAGCATAGAATATTTCGATAGATAATTATTTTTGTTCGGGTAATTCAAAATAGCCCAGATGCATCATTCGAGGCAGAAGATATTCCAATTCTTGCTTGTAGCTCTTATCCTGATACAACTGCTTGCGTAGGTTTTCATCCTGTAGCAATGCGCCAGGATCCTTGCCTTTGCGCATGTTATAAGATCCGGGTAAGAATATAGTGAGCAACATATAATCTAATGGGGTAAACATTAAGTAAATATTAAGATATACATAATCCTTATTATTCCACATATATCATATTGCAATTATGGCTAGCTTACCACTGTATCGCCTATCAAAGATCTGCCTTCGGAACTCTACTAAGCTGGGCATCTCTCCTTGATATCCAATTTTCAACAAAGTCTTTACAAAGGTATCAAAAAAGTAAAAGAGTAATTCATCGCATCTGTCTTTTCGTTCATCAGGACCCAACAGCATATATTTTGCGTAATGCAAGTCGTTAGCTATGGATCCAATGTAGGAAATCTGGAAGTCGAGCAGCATGCAGTCGCCGTCGTTATTGAACATCGTGTTACGGATATGAAAGTCGCCGTGGCACAGAACATAGTACGCATTGGACTGTCGATTCTCACGATATTCACGAACTACGTCTTGCCAGCGTTTAAGGAGGTTTTCTCGCATTGGCTCAAAGTATTTTCGATACTCCTTTAAATTTTCCTCCTGACTGATCATGTCTATAAAATTTGGCAACGCGGTTTTCATGAAATCGTGTTCCAAAAAGTTTGACAATGTCGTCAAATCAAATTGCAGTTCATTAAATGTTCCCGGTTGTTCTTTCAACAGTTTGAAGCTAACTGCCTGCCATTTGGCAAGTTTTCCAAGCACCGATCGCAGTTCAGTTAAGGTGGCATATCTGTCCCGAATTACTTGGTAGCCCTGGGGCACCAGATCCTCAAAAATAATCACCGGCCTTGGATCCAAGCTGTGATAGACGCAGGTGGCACAAAACTTGATCTCTTCCCCTGCCTCACGAAGAATTGCCTCGAACTTGGGCAGCACTTCTGTAAACATCGCAATCTCTGTTTGGAATATTTTAGAATCGGCCAGAAATTCTTTCTTATGTCCTTCCGCCTGAGGCATCGTCTTAATGATCAACGACTTTGAAAATTTTCTCTTTTGCACCGAATACTGAACAGTAGCCCGGAACATTACACTCGCATAGTGATCGCCTTTAGCACTCGCTGGGGAGATCTTTGATTCAGTTGCTATTAGACTCGGCTTCTTGAAGTGCTTCACTAGCGCATCCTGAAGGAAGTGCTTATCCAGCCAGGCGGGCGCTTCCAACTCATCCGAATTGTAGTTATCATCATTGGACATTATAAAAGAAATGTCGACCAAAATGCTCTGCTCAGTCACGTAGTTATCAACAAACTAACTGCGAATCGAGGGCTATTTCGTATTTATATTGTTGTTATCTTGAACAAGTTCAAGCTCTGTAATTTTAAGTGATAGATTATGAAATAGGCGTTCGATTGATTGTTGCATTGATTCTATTAGAGCAGAAATCAAATCACCAAATTCATTTCCTATTTCTATACAAAGCCACATTTTATAGATAGCAAAAATAATCAAAATTATCTTTGTACATATGTATGAAAGCACAGATAACTTAAATAAATTAATAATATGCAAATAAATTAATAATATGTTCATTTAGCACTCAATTATTGCTAATTAAAACTATTATAAGATAGCATTCACTCAATGTTATGACTGCAATAACTGTTATCCTTTAATTGGGTACAAATTTCTAATTTAATTTAGATTATAAAATTAGTTGTATTTTACAAATCTTCACCTTCTATTGGACTCTCACTTATTCAACTCGACTGAAAAGTTTTGTCATTTGACAATCCAAATGATTTTCTATATAAAGATGCATTTTTGGAAAGATCGGACATACTGCATATGTGCATGTTATGAATAAATGTATACGATATAGATACTAGACATATGCAGCTAATCTGTGTACATATATTTATACATATCATATACATGACATACATATATACATACATATATACATACATACATATCACATGACATATGCGCCCTCTCGAAGCTACAATATGTTAACTAAGCGCTCTTGAGGAACTTCACCCCAGACCACTTAGGCATGAATGGCTCTTACGTAATTCTCTCTCTCTCTCTCCAAATAAATGAAGGTAATACAATGGATATCACACCGACATATCACTGAAGTAGCCTAGATTATTCATACGCTCCAGTAAATATTCCACCTCCTCTTGGTAATCCTTATCCTTGTACATACTCGTACGTCGTCGAAAAGGATCATTGGCATTCTTCCTGGCAGCTATTTGCATGGGCAAAAATGTAGTCAGCAACATAAACTCTGAATAAATAAACTTAACGTTGTTTGGTAATGTCAAATATTAATAATTATGTACTCACCATTAAATCTCTTATCGATCATCTGGCTCTGGAACTCCTCAAATGTGGGCGCCTTACCGTGGTAACCTATCTTTGTTAGCGTTTTGTGAAATATTTCTAAATAATATTTGATGAGTTCGTCTCTTTGGCTGCCACGTTCTTGAGCAGAAAACAACATGTACATCGCATAAAGAAAGTCATTAACCATTGGGCCCACATGAGACAGTTGAAAGTCTATCAGCATGCAGCTGTTGTCCTTGAACATCAAGTTTCTAATATGAAAGTCGCCATGGCATAGAACATAATACGAATCATCTCGGGGACTTTGGCGATACTCGTCTAAGGTTTCTGCCCAATTTTGAACTAGATTAGCACGCATAGCCTGGAAATACTTTTTATACCTTTTCAGGCTGTCTACTTCATCAAGCATGTAAATAAAGTTAGGCAAAGCATTGGTTATGAAGCTTTGATTCAGGAAGTTCGGTAGTGTGGCGATATTGTATTGTAATTTTGCAAAGAAATTCGGATCTTCTTTTAATAGTTTGTGGCTAACTGCATGCCATTTGGCCAGCTTGTCTAGAGCGCAACGTAGTTCGTCTAAGGTGACAAGTCGATTGCGTAGCACTTGGTATCCCAAAGGCAACAGATCCTCAAAGATCATCACCTGCCGCGGCTCCAAGCTGTGGTATATGCAAGGCGCATAGAGCGTCGTCTCTTCACCAGCCTCTCGAAGTATCGCCTCAAACTTGGGCAAAACTTCTGTATACATGGCTATCTCTGTCTGGAATATGTGTGACTCATCCACCATTCTTTTCTTAAGGCCGCCCTGTTCAGGCATCGTCTTGACAATCAGAGACTTGGTAGTGACTCCCTTATCAGTTGAATACTCTACGACAGCTCGGAACATGACACTAGCATAATGATCCCCCTGCGCACTTGCTGGCGACAATTTCAGATCGTTTAACTCTAGCTCCGGAGCCTTCTCGGACTGAATCAATACTTCGGTAAAGAAATGCGTGCTTAGCCATTCCAGCACCTCCAATTCATCGGGATTGTAGCTTAGATTTGTAGTCATTATTTCTGATAAGTTCAGTAAATATAGCGGCTACATATGCATTCGCTTACACTTGCTTCAGCACTAACCAAAAGTTCGTTCCAGTCTGTGCTTACCTCTAAATGCTTTGAGAGCTTTTTGAGAGTGACGTAACCGTAAAAAAAGCAAATAGCAAGTAATATATACCCTGTAGCTTGGTCGATCTACCTACAATTTGGTCCACTCAAACAACCCGTTTTAGGGTATAAAAAGTGCGATAATATATTTGCTCTTCATATTGAATTTACACTCTGATATTGTTATCTACGCTCTCCGAAAAAATATTACCGATTCAACACTTCCATAAAAGGTATTCTAACAAGTAATTCAAACAATATAACGATTTCAAAGAGAGCGAACGCGCGGGAAATCGCTGCTACAAATCAATTTTCTGTTGCTAAATAAATATAAAGAGAAGAAAAGCAAAAAGCTTTAGGTGCCATAAAATACAATTTCTAAAAGTTTTTATTGGTTGTGCATGCGATAGTCCGTCTGTTGAACAAAGACTTCCCCGATATTGTAGCTCTTTACTTGAAATTTATAATTTATATTTGTGTTAACTGTCGTACAAATAAAATTATTTATCTACTACCAAATTTATAATTTATATTTGTGTAAACTGTCGTACAAATAAAATTATATATCTACTACCAAATCATGAAAAAATGTTATCGACAATTTTATGACGAGAGTAAACTTGCAATATCCGTTTTTTTGCCCTTCTGTATGTCCACCTATCCATATAAATGCAAGCCTTTTCGTCGCTCTTCAAGCCAGAGCCTTCAAAATAGAAGCCTTATAAAGCTTAAACCCGTATGCCAATACTCCCACTAGGGGAGTAGCAAATCGAGAAATACAATTTATGGTATAGCAGAACGTTAATTTTAAAATGCCTGAGAGCCGAGACTGCTCAACTAGTAGATAGCTTGTACCCTACGAAGAGCTACTGCATTCCCTACTCTTTTATATAGACATTACAAGCAACATGTGCGCCGCCTCGCACTATGCTTTCTGCACTTGGGCCTGGTATGAACCTTATTTATTGAATAAATTGACTTCTGAATGGACTTTCATAATCATAATCATAATAAGAGCGTGATAATGATATTTATATCTGTGTACTTCAAGGCACAAATCTCTAGTATTTTAAGTACTTTTTCTGCGAATTTATGAGGAATGGGGAAGGCATCCAAAAGCCAGAATCCAACATATACCAAATCATAATTCCTAATTTCTTATGTTTACTGCCCGCTCAGTTGTCATTTCGTTTGGCATTCAAGCTACGTTGAAACAACGATGTAAAATTGTAAATTTTTATCGATATTGAAATGGGATGAATTATTGGGAATAAAATAATAAATAAATCGTAATACTAAAAAAAATAAAAAATATTATATACAAAAATTAAATTGGAAGTTTCTAGCTGTTGTTGCTAAGAGATCAGTGGACACGGCTAGATCAACTCGGCTAGTCGTAGAGCCTTTGCCACGGCTCCCTCTGCCTGCTACATCGTCACAAATTCAATATACCATTTTCAATGTATAATATGAGTATGCTAAAACTACAAAATATATACAGAAAAAATTTATATTTTATTCTAAAAAAAATATACTAAGTATGAGATTTCAATATTTTTTAAAATTATATATGTTTTTTTTCAAATTATTGTCTTACAAAAATAATTAATAAAAATTAAAAAACTATTACCATAGGCATAAAAAACCATAACAACTCAAAACATATTCAAATTCAAGTGACACGAAAGTGTTTGCACAGAAATATTTTTCAACAAGTAAGAAAGCTCTAGTCGGGGTGCCCGACTAGGAGATACCCTGATCCCAGTCCTTTAAGTTTTGTAATATTTTCCGTAGTTTGTATCGAGTATTAAAAAAAAAAAGAAAACAAATAAAAATCGACATTGCGAGACCAGGTTTCGAACCCGGATTATTTGCGCAACGTGCACAAACTCTACCAACATCGCCACTTCATAACTAAAAAAAAATAAAAAAATAAAAAACGTTTCATATCCACTGGCCTCGAACCTAGACCAAGCTGCACACGAGCGGCGCCTCTACCAACGCAGCCACTGCCCTTCTTACCCGAACTGTTGCAAATTTGAACATAAGTAGCAGCTAATAATTCAGCACAATTCAATCGCAATTTCAATTCTTGGAATAGAAAAGAATACACGCATTTGAATGTATGTGTGCACACGCATAGGAAAAATGCGTGCGCGTGGCGCTGCTGACATGTGCTTTTGCAAATTGGCCAAACGTTTTGTTTAATAACTTCTGTTTTACTTAATGGATTTTAATGAAATTTTCAGCATATGATCTACATATCCTATTGGCTTGGTTGAGATGCAAACGCCTTCACATAATGGCCCTATTTCCAACTAAACTTAAATTCTAAGAATTTGGGGGAATTTGGAGCCGGTATCCAAAATCCAACAAAAATCAAAATTGCATAAAATATACATAAGACTAAATACAAAATTTGGATGCTCTAGCTCTTAAGACGTTCGAGATATAATTTATTTACTACATTTCAATAATGTTTTTATTCGATAACAATTAAATGCGAATAGTTATCGAATATTTGAAACAAACTTGACCTGCGCGTGCTATACACGGACCTACAAAAAAAATTTCAAGTCTCTAGCTCTTATAGATGCTGAGATCCACGCGTTCACACATACGGACAGACGGACAGACGGACAGACAGACAGACGGACAGGGCTCAATCGACTCGGCTTGTCGTCCTGATCAAGAATATATATACTTTATGGGGTCTGCCACGCCTCCTTCTGCCTGTTACATACATTTGCACAAAACCATTATACCCTGATTTCCCATTTTTAATGGGATCAGGGTATAAAAATAAGGCAATATTAACTTAATTAACTATTAAAATTAGTATTTGGTATGACCCCCGTTGGCTTCAATGACCGCTTCCAACCGTCTATTCATGGATATATATATAATCTACATCTTCACAAATCTGATTTCCCATATTCAATAAGTGATGTCAGCATGCTAAAACTACAAAAATAGATATATATATTCATGAACATATTTATTACACTTACACCTCCTATATAGACAGTATTTCTTAAAATAATGATATTGGAATTAATTAGCTAATACAATATAATTACAACACATGAAAGGGTATAGCAATGCCAAAATGCTCGCAGGGAATCACATTGTATACTACTGATCCGCATCCAGCAACCCTTCACTAAAATATACAGATAATAATTCCCGTAGTACCCTCTGGGTGGCTGGATTTCGGTAGCAGGCATTCTTGAAGTTAATTGCTCGCTCATCTGTTTTGATCAGGGCGTTGAAGTCGGCATCATCGGTTTCAACATTCCTCTGGATGGGAAAGATGCCGAGGCTGGTGTGCATAGCTGGAAGGCGCAAAAGATGGAAGCACGTTAAGGTGGATTCGAGAGAAGTTACGAAGTATTTTAGACATACCGTAAAAGGACTTTTCCTTGAGCTGCAAGTGGAAGTTATGCAAGCTGGGAATATGTGATTTATAACGTAGTTTTCTGAGCGTATCCGAGAAAATCTTAAAATAGTATTCAATTAGCTCCTCTTGGTGGTGTAAATGGAAATCCAATTGCAACGACGAGTTCAAAAAATAGAACAGATCAATGGCCGGAGAGCCCCAGGCAGCGTACTGGAAATCTATGATAATAACATCCTCCGGCTGAGCAGTGACTTCGTTGTACTTAACGAGAACATTATTGGTCCACAGATCCCCGTGGGCCAACACATTAATGCCCGCACTAACATCGAACACTCGCTTGCCCAGCTCCATGTAGACGGGCACCAGATCGTTCAATTTCTGGGCATATTGCTCATAGCCAGGCCATTGAGCCACACACCTGCTTGCAGCCTGTATCATGCCTTCAAAGATGGGCGCATAGTTGTCTGTGTGTCGGTTGAACATGCCACGATCGTAGGTCTCCAAGGCGCCGAGTTCGCGCTCGTTCAACACGGCCGAGGTGGCGTGCATCTTGGCTAACTTGCGCAGCACTAGTCGAGCCAGATTTAGATCTAAGCCTAATAGACGTTCGGGCATAACGAAGCCACGCATGCTGAGGTCCTCGAAGATTAGAGCTGAACGATCGTAGTCAACGGACATTGTTTCAGCAAAGAGTTGCTCACTGTCGCCAATTTCTAATAGCAAAGCCTTTAGTTTAGGCAGAATCTGTTCATAAATAGACATTTCCCGATTGAATATATCGTATGGCTCCATGACTTTGCGTGCGAACTCATTGCTCTCGTATGTGGTCTTGATTATGTAGTGTCCGATCTGTGAGTTGCCATCGCCGCTGATGAACTCTGCTTTAATGCGGGTCAAAACACCGCCATAGTTTTCGCCGCGTCCCAAGGCTGGACGACCGTCCAGTGCGACGATCCTTAAATTCGAATCCCTGTGGAATTGTTGAAGAGCATTCTGTAAGTATCTGTGTGTTAGCCAGTCTGGCGCACCCGAAATTTCGGAAACTTCTGCCTGTGAATTGGAAGCTGTCAGCTTTGGAATGGCGTCCAATGTGCCTATCAAATCTGAAACTGACATTTTGTTGAGCTTCTTTAACTGATCTATCACAATCTAAACCCTTCCACGGCTGTTTAAGTCTTATTGTGTCAAACTTTCTCAGCCACACAGCTTTTTATACACCATCTCCTAGCAGGTGTCGACGACGTATTCATATCGCAATTGTGATTTATATGGCAAAGTGTAAGAGATGCTGGTTAAATATGTGCATATTATAAAGTATATAGTATATATGTACATGTATTTATATATTTATACATAGCGCACACACGGATTAAGCTTTACAAATGGTGCCGTTCCATCTCACCCACGCGCTGTTGCTACTGCCCTCTAAACGATATGCACACAGACTTTAATTGGCTAAGCCTAATCGTATAAAAGTCAAGGTTAAAGAAAACGCTAGTTTCTCAAATGTTGCAATTCCATTCAAGCATTCCTGAGGAACATTTGAATAAATATGAAACAAGTCAAGCGAATTACTTTTTATTTAATCAAAGGCTTAGTCAAAAGACAACACGTGAGAAGTGAATGCCCAAATAATTCCTTTTATAAGTGTCAATATTTATACAGTTACTGAAAGTGTCTGGGTAAACAGTCATAACAGCTTATGACGGAAAATTGTTTGATCATATTTGTACAGGGTCGTAAGCCAACAAAGCTTCAATCATTATACAATTTATAGTGCATGCTCAGTGACGTCTTACGAGCTTACAAAAAACACATCAACTTTGCCTTGAAAGCAAGGAAATAATAACTAAAGAACGAAACAAATCTTACAGAATCTGGCAATTTAATAAAAAGGATTTGTAATACACTTTGTATAAGCAAATTATCCATGCGTTTTTTTATCCTGATCCCATTGAAAATGGGAAATCAGGGTATAATGGCTGTGTGCAAATGTATGTAACAGGCAGAACGGGGCGTGGCAGACCCCATAAAGTATATATATTCGTGATCAGGACGACAAGCCGAGTCGATTGAGCCCTGTTCGTCTGTCCGTATGAGTGAACGCGTGGATCTCAACATATAAAAGAGCTTGAGACTTGAAATTTTTTTGTAGGTCCGTGTATAGCACGCGCAGGTCAAGTTTGTTTCAAATATTCGATAACTATTCGCATTTAATTGTTATCGAATAAAAACATTATTGAAATACAGTAAATAATTTATATCTCGAACGTCTTAAGAGCTAGAGCCTCCAAATTTTGTATTTAGTTTTATGTATATTTTATGCAATTTTGGTTTTTGTTGGATTTTGGATACTGGCTCCGAATTTCCCCAAATTCTTAAAATTTAAGTTTAGTTGGAACTAGGGCCATTATGTGAAGGCGTTTGCATCTCAACCAAGCCAATAGGATATATAGATCATATGCTGAAAATTTCAATAGCACATGTCAGCAGCGCTACGCGTATGCATTTTTCCTATGCGTGTGCACACATTCATTCAAATGCGTGTATTCTCTTCTATTCGAAGAATCGCAATTGCGATTGAATATTGCTTGAATTATCAGCTGCTACTCAACTTCAAATTTGCAACTCTTATTGCAATAGGTGCAGTGGCTGCGTTGGTAGAGGCGGCACTCGTATATAGTTAGTCGCGGGCTTTGAGACCGGTGGAGATGAAATATTTTTTATTGTATTATTTTTATTATGAAGTGGCGGTGTTGGTAGCGCAAGCAATCTGGGTTCGAATTCTGGTCTCTCTCGTAATGTCGTTTTTTATTTCATTTTTTTTTTTTTGTTGTGAATACTCGATACAAACTACGGAAAATATTAATTAATGCAAATAGGACTGGGATCAGGCTATCTCCTAGTCGGGCACCCCGACTAGAGCTTTCTTTCTTGTTTAAAGCTCGCTTAAAAGCTTTTTTAGCTCGCAAAATTTTCAAAACCTCGCTTCCAGGTGGAAAATTAAATTGCATTTGGTCATGAATCAGTGCTCAGGCATTTGTTATATTTCATACTTCGAGTCTAACAATGAAATAAATTTAGACTTAACAGACTTACAATTTTTTAGCTGAAAATAATTTGAGACTAAAAATTAATTTCGCCTATACGATTCGAAATACAATTGTATCTAAGCCATCGAAAAAGCAGTTCAATCACGCCACGATTCAAAGTTGAGGCATCATCATATAGAGTTGGCTTGCAAAGTGACAAATGCAAGGCTAAAGTTGCAGCTGACAATTCGAACACAAACAAAACACAATTGCGATTCGATTTATAAAATTAAAAAAAACAGCTGGCGCTAATTGCCACGAGGCTTGGCCAATTGACCACACGTTTTTTTAATAACTTCTGTGTTACTTAACGGATTTTATTTCATTTTCAGCTTCTAGTTGTAGCCAAGATCGACTTACATACGCACAGGCGGACTGATGGCAGTTCATTCAGATCAAGAATATACGTACATTATGGAGCTGGCCACGCTTCCTTGCACCTATTTCAAACACTTCAATAAAACTATTATACCCGGACTTCTCATTTTCAAGGGGCATATATAGATAGTATAAGAGTAGAAGAGACAGTCAGAAATTCAGCTTAACAAGTGATATTCCCAGCCGTATATTACTTTAGATTACGCAGAGACTTAGATAATTTTGCATATATTTATAGCGAGCAATTCGTCTGGCGCACGTCACAGAGCTCTGGCTCATATATATCGCTTTTTTTGTAAAAGCATGCTAGAGTAGTCAGAGCAAATGTTTGCTGGGGAATAAAAGTATCGCACGCTGGCAGAGTGATAGTCGAGCTGCCCAAAATAAATATTCTCAATTGTATTAAAGGCAGCTTTGTTCTCATATAAAAGTCTGTGCGCCCGTTCAAGATGCAGCACAACCAACGGCATCTCAGACACAGCAAGGCACAATGGCAGCGGCACCTGAGTGGCTGACACACGATTACATTAAGCATGCGCTGAGAGTGCACTACAAGGATGCCAAATTAAATATTGTGCAGTTTGAATTGAATCCGGCTCTGGGACCGGGCGAGAACTACGGGGGTGTCCTCACAAGGGTTCGAGTGCGCTTTACACTTGCTCAGCAACCAGAAAAGGAGCTGCTTCAGTACTTGATAGTGAAGACCTCCTTAGATGACGATGAGCTGTCTAAGGAGCTGATGGCGCCCTATGACATTTACAATCGTGAAATGAACATCTACGAGGAGGTGCTACCCAAGTTGAATGAGCTTCTCAAGGAAATTGGTGAGTTCGAGCCGTTGTTTCCCACGGCCATCTTCGTGGATCGCAAACGCATGGCCATCATCTTTGAGGATCTCGGTATGGCCAACTATGTGATGGCCGATCGAATTAAGCGCCTGGACAAGGATCACGCTCACCTTATTCTACGCAAGCTGGCTAAGATGCATGCCAGCTCTGCTGTATTGAACGAACGCAACTCCGGCAGCTTGGAGAAATACGATAGAGGATTCTTCAATCGCTATACTAACGCCTACAGTGGATATTTTGTAGGCGGTCTGCTAGCCGCCGCACGATGGATGAGCCAGGAGCCTGAGTGCGCTCAGTACGGGCAGAAATTGTTTGAATTAGCTCCTCACTACATGGACATAGGTCGCAAGTGTTTTGCGCCTCTGAGCGAGTCAGTGAACGTCTTGGCCCATGGAGATGTCTGGACCAACAATGTGATGGTAAAATACGATCCGGATACGGGTCGCCCAGTGGATATTGTACTTATTGACTTCCAATATTCGTTTTGGGGATCGCCCACCATCGATTTGCATCATTTCTTCAATACTTCGCTGAGGGAGCCACTGCGGCGAGAGGAGCAGAGCACTCTTATTGAGTTCTATCATCGCATTTTCAGAGATATTCTGAACAAACTTAACTACAAAGAGAACCCGATTCCCAGTTTGCATCAGTTCCAGTTGCAAGCCGAGCAAAAACGATTTTTCGGTAAGTTAACAAAAGCATTCAAGATTTCGCTTGAAATTCATTTTTGGCTTCCATATAGCTATGCACTCTGCCGTTGTCGTGCAGCCCGTCATGATCAACGAGGACTCAACAGACGCCAGTTTCAATGCTCTCATGAACGACGATGAGCGCGGCATTCGGTTTAAGAATCGCCTCTACAATAATCCCGTTGTTCAGCAAAATCTCAAGGCCCTGATGCCTGTTTTTGACAAAAAGGGACTCCTGGAGATTAATCAATGCTGTTAGACTGTGCCACGGACCACGGACCTTATCCGATTGACCATGTCTCCAAGGAACACATTTTTATTTCATCACCGAAGGCGGTAAAAATTAACTCCGCTTTCCAAATTCTAGGTTTTATTGTCTATTATTATCTAGCCTAGCCTAGCCTATCTACTTTGTTGTAAGTAAAGTTTTTTTTTAAATGTTTTCTTTCTTTATATTTTTTCCCAAAACCATCAGATATGTTCAAAATTAAAATATACTATCCTTATGTAATACAATATGAATTAGGATTAGAAAAAGTCTAGTAATTAATCGAAACTTATTTTCTTGTAAAATAAATGAATAGAAATCTATATAAATTATATATATATATATATATATATATATATATATATATATATATATATATATATATATATATATATATATATATATGTCTATGTACTGAATATAAGAAAAGCAATATCGTGGGTGTATATCCTACAAATTTGTACAGTCTCTTGTCTTGTCTCAGTCCCGGGCATTGACAAGATGGACATTGTACAAACCAATATATATATATCCACTTCGTGGATCTGTTCAGAAACTTAAATTGTTTATTTTGAAATTGTGTTTCTCTATGATAAGAGCAGGAATATTTTCAAATAATTTTATTATTTTTAAAAATTATTTCAATGATCCGTCACAAAAAGTTTCTAAAATATTGTGCTCAAATTGCAGAGGAAATAGCATTAATTTCCATAATTTTTATGGTCAGAAGCTATAGCTTTTCTCTCAATAGACCGAAGCCTGCGTTTATATACCCGATGCTTGCTGTACCCTCTCAAACGTTAAGTACGGTAATATAAACAATCTAATGCAAAGTTAGAGGTCAAGTTAACAACATTGTTTCGGGCGTGGGCTCAACTTGAATCACTATTAGGATTAAGATAATATTTATCTGGCACACGTCGGATTTCTCGAGCTGTAAAGCAAACATCATCTACCTAACGTACATACATAAATCACTAAGGCATCGCACGCATGGAGAGTGATAGATAAAATGATAACACAAACCACAACAATGTCCATACAAGCTGAGCGAGTGTCACATGATGATATTGAGCAGGCACTCAGACCTTACAATAAGAATACAAAATTAAAGATTGGTTTTGTTGAATCATACTCTGAAACCTTACTACTTGCATCTGGGCACCCATACTCAATTCTCTCATTGTTTTTCTTCAAATTTCTTACAAAGCAGTATCCCAGAATTCCCAATTGGTCTGATCTTAAATTGAAGACCAAACCGAAGAGCTTCGATGGTAAGTTAATTTGTCGAAATAATTTTTTGTGCTTACTTTCGGCAAACTAAGTTCTTCTTTAAGGCATTCACAGGGGTAATGGGCCACAAAATGTCCTATTCCGCATAATAATCCCATAGTTTAGAATAATCTAAAAGCCCTGACTGGGATTGCCTAAGGTTAATCGTAGTTAGAATCTGCTAGAAACACAATCATATCATTATTACTATATATTGTATAATAAATTCACACTATGAACATTGATATATATTAGGCTTTCCTCAGAGAAAATATTTGTTTACTAAATAAAAACAAATTCTACTTACAAGTCTAATAATATTGTATAGCTAATTTAAATGACGTTTAAAAACAAAGCACTGCTATTATTTGTTGGGTATCTGCGACTAATCTGTACTCTTCTATTAATTATATAAAAAATAATCCATCAATGTTTTAAAGATGCCTTCCTATCTAGGACATTATACAGAATATTTAGAGAATAGTTCCTACAAACTTTGCAACTAGCATGCTAAAGATTTTAATATGGAAACGCAATAATGAAACACTTAATCCACATAATGTTCGAGGATAAAAATTTGTTGTAGTACTCAAGTACTCTATGTTAAACGGATCTATGAAATATCTTTAAAATAAAGAGCTTTCTTTCAAGTGCATATTAAATTACACTGTAGCTGACTAAACGCATCTGTTCAGATGGCAAAGCTTGAGTAAAGAATGAACAATCTTGTTTGAATAAAACTCAGACATTCACCTACGATAAGGCATTAGTATACTACCTCCGACAGCTTCCAACGACAACTCAATTGAGGCACGACGACTATGAGTGCACTCATAGCCTACAATCGTAACTATAAAGTTTAGCCAGGCAGATTTGTGGTACCGAGCATCGTATAAAAGGCGATAAACTCTGCATACGCAGCTCAGAAGTATTTGAAATCTGTAGACACAATCTGTTAGCCATGCCCGAGCTGAATTCCGACACGAACTTAAAGCTACTGGCTGCACCTGCTTGGCTCACCCGCGAATACGTGCAGCAGAGGTTGCGGAACTACCTGAAAGAAACAAAGCTGCAGCTGCAACAGCTGCACATCCAGCCGGCCACGGTCAATGGGGAGAACTATGCGAGCGTAATGACGAGGATCATTGTAGAGTATACGGACAATAATCAATGCCAGCATACGGACAATTTTATAGTTAAGACCACGTTCGCTGACAAGGATCCGGCTGCTCATATGCTGGAACAATATGGCGTGTATGTCCGTGAAATGGATATGTACGAGGAACTGCTGCCCAAGCTGGCGAAGATCATTCAGATAGAGCTGCAAGATCAACGAAAAATGTTTGCGCGCACAGTGTATGTGGATCGGGAACACGACTCGATTCTGTTCGAGGACATGACCTTGGACAAATACTGTGTAGCGGATCGCATTAAGCAACTGGATCTGGATCACGCTCATCTAGTACTGGAAAAATTGGCGAAATTCCATGCAGCCGGCGCAGTGCTGAGCGAACGGCAGCCAGGGATTTATGGTGAGAAATACGATCGCTGCTTCTTCAATAGACACACGCAAGCCTACAAGCCGATTATGCAGAATATGCTGAGAGCTTTAATCATCTCCATCGAGGATGATCCGGCCCTGCATCAACGCTACGCAGCTAAACTTAATGGTGTCGTCGATCACATCATGGAATACAGTGAACAGACGATGGAACTGAAGACAGGAGACTTCGCCACCCTCTGCCATGGCGATCTATGGACTACGAATATAATGTTTAATTACCTGAAGCAAGGCAAGCCGGATAACATGATCTTTATAGATTTTCAGTTCAGCGTTTGGAGCTCGCCGGCTATCGATCTGCACTATTTTTTCAGCACCTCGTTGCAAGATAATCTCTACAAGCATCATCAAACCGAGCTAGTCCAGTTCTACCACCAGAAGCTTGTGGAAGCACTTGCTAAACTTAAATATGAAGGTCTCGTGCCTAGCTTATTTGAGTTTCAGCTCCAATTTCAAGCGCGTGCTTTTTATGGTGAGTCGGTTATATTGGGCATAAATTCGAATTTTCACTTAATTTGTTATCGTTATTTTCATTCTATAGCTATTTTCTGCTCACTGGTTTTTCTGCCCGCCATGCTGCACAATGGACCCGAGGAATTCTCCATTGAAAAAGCTCTGTCCCTGTCTGAGGCCGATGTGGCTCTGAGAGTATCCATATACAAAAGCGAGCAATACCAGAAGAAACTAAGAAAAATTTTACCTATTTTCGATCACAAAGGATTGCTCGATGAGATATAAATAATATTAAACTTTAATAGATAGTAAAATATTTCGAAAAATAAAAAAAATAAAAATAGATAGTAAAATATTTCGAAATTATTATGGAATAAGTAAGTGGGAAGGCCCCAGTCGGGAGTACCCGACTAGTAGATACCCTGAACCCTACGCAGAGCTGTCCAATGAATCATATATATCTGTGTATACATACAAACAACACTTTAATGGGAAAATAAATATCGACTTGATTAAATTTTCAGAGCTTGACATTGACATCCAAGAGGGAGATATCCAATATCCTAAAATCTTTCTACTCTTTACTGAGACTTATCAACCTTAACGATACAAGCTATGCTTTAAAAGTGAAATGAAATTGTCATTTTAATCGATAATAGGGAAATGGGTTAGGTTATCGAAAAAATGGTAAGCTCGTACTTAATATTTCAGTCTTATGTGTTTTTGGAGATAACCAAAGGGGATATTTTTAGAAGAGGTAAATCTACTGAATGCTTAAGTTTCTATCTAAAAAAATTAACAACCTACAGATTTTCCCGAATTGGCAGAGTCGTAGTGGTGTAGAGATTTTAATTACATATTTTTATGCTGCTGAAGTCTACACTATATAGTATAGTATATATTCAAAATTTTAGCTTCCAGCTCTAAAAGCTCTCTAGATATAACAAATTTGATTTGCGCGACCGTAGTGAGTGTGGACATTTAACTGTCTGTAGAGTATCTTAACAGTAATTCATGTGACATGTGAATACTGAATGTACCTATATCATCTATACTGATCAAGAACTGGATACCAAGTATCGACACCAATTATCGATACCAAGTATCGATACCAATTATCGATACCAAGTATCGATACCAAGTATTGATACCAATTTTCGATACCAAGTATTGATACCAATTTTCGATACCAAGTTTCGATACCAAGTATTGATACCAAGTATCGAATCCAAGTATCGATACCAAGTATCGATACCAAGTATCGATACCAAGTATCGATACCAAGTATTGATACCAAGTATACCAAGTATCGATACCAAGCATCGATACCAAGTATCGATACCAAGTATCGATACCAAGTATCGATACCAAGTATCGATACCAAGTATCGAAACTAAGTATCGATACCAAGTATCGATACCAAGTATCGGTACCAATTATCAAAACCAAGTATCGATACTAAGTATCGATATCAAGTATCGATACCAAGTATCGATACCAAGTATCGATACCAAGTATCGATACCAAGTATCGATACCAAGTATCGATACCAAGTATCGATACCAAGTATCGATACCAAGTATCGATACCAAGTATCGATACCAAGTATCGATACCAAGTATGGAAACCAAGTATAGATACCAAGTATCGATACCAATTATCGATACCAAATATTGATACCAAGTATCAATACCAAGTATCGATACCAAGTATCGATACCAAGTATCGATACCAAGTATCGATACCAAGTATCGATACCAAATAACGATACCAAGTTTCGATACCAAGTATCGATACCAAGTATCGATACCAAGTATCGATACCAAGTATCGATACCAAGTATCGAAACCAAGTATCGATACCAAGTATCGATACCAAGTATCGATACCAAGTATCGATACCAAGTATCGATACCAAGTATCGATACCAAGTATCGATACCAAGTATCGATACCAAGTATCGATACTAAGTATCGACACCAAGTATCGATACCAAGTATCGATATTAAGTATCGATACCAAATATTGATACCAAGTATCGATACCAAGTATCGATACCAAGTATCGATACCAAATAACGATACCAAGTATCGATACCAAGTATCGATACCAAATATGGATACCAAGTTTCAATACCAAGTTTCGATACAAACTATCGATACCAAGTATCGATACCAATTATCGATATCAAGTATCGATACTAAGCATCGATACCAAGTATCGATACCAAGTATCGATACCAAATATCGACACCAAGTATCGGTACCAAGTATCGATAGCAAGTATTGATACCAAGTATCAATACCAAGTATTGATACCAAGCATCGACACCAAGTATCCATGCCAAGTATCGATACCAAGTAGCTCAGTTGTAAGTCTAGTACTTTCCGTTTTGTCGATTTCTACAAAAAGTTAAAGTTACAAAGGAAATATACACAGCTTATAAGCGAAACTATCCTTAACATATAATTTACCCTTTTTATGCAAATAACTTTTAGGCTTCATGAACCATAAAGCAGACGAAACATTCGCACATGTAAATGCTTAAGAAGGCACACTTATTTTATACGCTGTATGATAGACTTAATACCAAGTATCGATACCAAGTATCGATACCAAGTATCGAAACTAAGTATCGATACCAAGTATCGATACCAAGTATCGATACCAATTATCAAAACCAAGTATCGATACTAAGTATCGATACCAAGTATCGATACCAAGTATCGATACCAAGTATCGATACCAAGTATCGATACCAAGTATCGATACCTAGTATCGATACCAAGTATCGATACCAAGTATCGATACCAAGTATCGATACCAAGTATCGATACCAAGTATCGATACCAAGTATCGATACCAAGTATCGATACCAAGTATCGATACCAAGTATCGATACCAAGTATCGAAACCAAGTATAGATACCAAGTATCGACACCAATTATCGATACCAAATATTGATACCAAGTATCGATACCAAGTATCGATACCAAGTATCGATACCAAGTATCGATACCAAGTATCGAAACCAAGTATAGATACCAAGTATCGACACCAATTATCGATACCAAATATTGATACCAAGTATCGATACCAAGTATCGATACCAAGTATCGATACCAAGTATCGATACCAAGTATCGATACCAAGTATCGATACGAAGTATCGATACCAAATAACGATACCAAGTTTCGATACCAAGTATCGATACCAAGTATCGATACCAAGTATCGATGCCAAGTATCGATACCAAGTATCGATACCAAGTATCGATACCAAGTATCGATACCAAATAACGATACCAAGTTTCGATACCAAGTATCGATACCAAGTATCGATACCAAGTATCGATACCAAGTATCGATACCAAGTATCGATACCAAGTATCGATACCAAGTATCGATACCAAGTATCGATACCAAGTATCGATACCAAGTATCGATACCAAGTATCGAAACCAAGTATAGATACCAAGTATCGACACCAATTATCGATACCAAATATTGATACCAAGTATCGATACCAAGTATCGATACCAAGTATCGATACCAAGTATCGATACCAAGTATCGATACCAAGTATCGATACCAAGTATCGATACCAAGTATCGATACCAAATAACGATACCAAGTTTCGATACCAAGTATCGATACCAAGTATCGATACCAAGTATCGATACCAAGTATCGATACCAAGTATCGATACCAAGTATCGATACCAAGTATCGATACCAAGTATCGATACCAAGTATCGATACTAAGTATCGACACCAAGTATCGATACCAAGTATCGATATTAAGTATCGATACCAAATATTGATACCAAGTATCGATACCAAGTATCGATACCAAGTATCGATACCAAATAACGATACCAAGTATCGATACCAAGTATCGATACCAAATATGGATACCAAGTTTCAATACCAAGTTTCGATACAAAGTATCGATACCAAGTATCGATACCAATTATCGATATTAAGTATCGATACTAAGCATCGATACTAAGCATCGATACCAAGTATCGATACCAAGTATCGATACCAAATATCGACACCAAGTATCGGTACCAAGTATCGATAGCAAGTATTAATACCAAGTATCAATACCAAGTATTGATACCAAGCATCGACACCAAGTATCCATGCCAAGTATCGATACCAAGTAGCTCAGTTGTAAGTCTAGTACTTTCCGTTTTGTCGATTTCTACAAAAAGTTAAAGTTACAAAGGAAATATACACAGCTTATAAGCGAAACTATCCTTAACATATAATTTACCCTTTTTATGCAAATAACTTTTAGGCTTCATGAACCATAAAGCAGACGAAACATTCGCACATGTAAATGCTTAAGAAGGCACACTTATTTTATACGCTGTATGATAGACTTAATCCTCTATAGTACCATCTTATTCTATGTCAGACGTAACTATTACGTAAATAGTAACTATTATTCGTGTGCTGATGACTGTGCAAAATTTAGATTGAGACTAATAGAACTATATACTAATCTTATGTAATCTTAGATGTCAGCCACACATAGAAGGTACAATTGTCTAGATCAGCCAGCTTTACGACTGTCATAACGCAAGATTGCTTATTCATAACTTTCGGAATAAATGAGCCTGTCAGACTATAAATTGCGAGTGCTCTGCGAGTCGTTGCGAGAGATTCATCTTAACATGGTAGAAATACACAACGGCAACAGCAACGGCAACCAAGTTGAGGGTAACTTTCATCCTGCCCCGCAATGGCTGACCGAGTCTTATGTGGAAGCTCTTCTCCGACGCCATAAACATGATGAGCAGCTGAGCATTGAGAAGCTAACTATTAAGCCAGCAACGGCCAAGGGTGATAACTATGCCAGCATTATGACCAGGATCCAAGTAGATTATATTCGCGGCGGAAGCAAAGAATACGAGACCGAGTTCTTCATTGTAAAGACCACCTTTGAGAATGATCCGTTTATATCCAACATCTTTGCGGGTTACCAAGCAAGCCGTACAGAAATGGTGATGTACGACAAGATTCTGCCACAGCTCACTGCTCTTCTGGAGGGCACTGGACAATCTGAGAAGTTATTTGCCAAGACAATCCATGTGGACTACGAGCACTCTGCCATCATCTTTGAAGACCTCGCTATATTCAACTACGTACTGGGCGATCGTTTGACTGGCTTCGACTTGGAGCACACAAAGATGGTGCTCCGAAAGTTGGCAAAAATGCATGCATCCGCCTCAGTTCTCAATGAGCGCCAGCCTGGACTTCTCACCACACTGGATCATGGCATATTCAATCGTCACACACGAGCCTTCAAGCCCATGTTTGAGAGTCTGATGGGCGTGGCTGCAGACTTTGCCGGGAAGTGTCCAGAGCTAGGCACCATATACGAGGACAAGCTACGAGGCCTGCAGAAACATGTAATGGATTACACGGAAAGTGTTTACGATCCACAAGAAGACGAGTTCAATACCCTAACTCATGGCGATTTGTGGACAAACAATATAATGCTGAGAAATAAGACTGAGCACAACGAGCTGGACTTGCTGCTGATTGATTTTCAATTCTCTGCCTGGGCATCGCCTGCCGTGGATCTCTTTTACTTCTTCTGTACATCGCTGCAACCTGAAGTGCGCAACAACCACTTGAGCTCACTGATCCAATACTATCACAAGGCGCTTGTGGATACCCTGCGTGAATTGAAGTTTGGTGGCTACATACCCACGCTAAGGCAGCTGGTGTTGCAGCTTGAAAAGGGAAAATTCATGGGTGAGATCATAGTTGATTGTTTAAGAAAAATGGAAACTATTTGGACATATATATACATATATTTATTTATTTTTATTAGCTGTGACCGCATCTCTGACCTGCCAGGCCATAATGCTCAACGAAGAAACAAATGATGCGGATTTCAAAGGGCTCATGGTGGACGATGAACGGGGTCGAAACTTCAGGAAAGGAATGTACAAAAACAAGAGGCTTCAGGATAATGTTATAAGATGTCTACCCGAATTCGATCGCAGTGGTCTGCTTGATGTGTTGGATTAAAGTTAACACCTATCTTAATATTTACATTTAATAGCAGTTTTAATAAAACGTATATATTCCACTTTTCTGAAATATACATCCTTGTCAAATGAAAATGTTGTATGTTGTATGTGACCTGAACGATTCAATGGATTTTTTATTTATATCAGAAAATTTAACCTATGCAGACGTTAACTTCACTCTATTTAATTTTCCGCCAGCTTACGTCTCAGAAGAAATTCACCTCAATATTAATACGTATTTATTTCAAAATGAAATATAAAAATATATTTTAATTCTAAACTTAAAAGATCATTTATATGTTTTATTAAAACTGTTGAATATACCATTAACCTTTGTTAATGTGGGAAAATGGAGTTCTGCTCTTCAGCCCAGCTTTGAAATAGGCCAATTGGTACCCGTTAGCTATGACTGTCTGTCTCCCCTCCATCAGTCCACCTTTGGAATATTTATGTGTGGTAGACATAGGTTCAACTTCAGTTCCTTCATATCGATCAAAATGGACGTTTAGAGCTTTATTTTAAGCATAGCTCGAAGACTTTTGATTTATTTTAAAGTCCTACCTATAATGCTGAAAGTATATACATACATATAATATATATTATAAATAAAAATAAATAAAATTATAAAAAGTGTAAAAGTAGCTGAATCACTTAATTCCATTCAAAAATGCTGAAACTAGCACTGTCTTTCATTTCTGTTTAATCTCTACTAACATACATATAGGTAGGTGTCTTACCTAATACACGCATAAAGCAATTTCACAATAGCATGAAAGGAAGTTTTCACACATTCATACAAACATACATACAGTCTGTCAAGAAACACTTTACACAGTGGAAAAAATCTCAATTTTTTGACTTTATGTAAAAAAATAAAGAGTTTTTGTTTAATTTAACTAATTTTTTTTAATGGTTAACTGTTTAATAGGTATTTTTAAATCAAATTATAGAAAACAGAAACAAAAACAATAATGGTGAAACTTAAAAAACAACAAAAACTTAGATTACTCATATTTTACACTGTCAAGAAACTCTTTACACATTTTGTTCTCTTCATCTGTTTTGCTCTGATTCTAAGAAATAACGGGGCTTTACCGTTAACTATGCCTTTAGAATCTGTCTATGCATCTCTATTTTTGTGTTTATTTTTCACTTTGTGCGAAATTTGGCTGAGTACACATATAAAAGCAATACAAATTTTGATTAATAATGCCCGGAAAGAGATTAAGCTTCGATGTTGTCCAATTGATCTTCTACAATCGGCAGTTGGGCAAATCAGTTCCAGAATTAGTGGAAATGTTTTCTGTGTCAAGAAAAACCATATACAACGTTCTCAGTCGCGCGGAAAATGAGGGAAGACTTGAGGCAAAGGGTGTGGGTGGCCGAAAAAAAAAGATATCTGATCGGGCAAGCCGCCTTATGATGCGAAAGATCAAATCAAATCCCCAAATCTCGACCAGAACTCTTGCCAAGGAGCTCAAAGAAGAGTGTGGTGTGGATGTGTCCCACGAAACGATCCGTCAGGCTATTCTACGGCATGGGTATTCTTCGAAAGTGGCACGTAAGAAACCCTTGCTGTCGTCGACAAATGTGGAAAAGCGCTTCTGTTTTGCTCTTACTATGCTTAGGCACCCAGAGGAGTATTGGAAGGACGTTATATTTTGCGACGAGACCAAAATAATGTTGTATTACAACGAAGGTCCGCCCAAAGTATGGCGAAAGGTCTCTAAAGCTTACGACAAAGCGAATATCATTCCAACAGTCAAATTTGGAAAGCTGTCGGTTATGGTTTGGGCCTGCATTTCCAGCCAAGGAGTCGGTGAATTGGTATTCATTGAAAACACAATGAATGCCGAGCAATATTTTCAAATTTTGAAGACAAATTTACACCAAAGCGCAACCAAATTTGGCTTTATTAGTGAAAATCGGCCAACTTTTAAATTTTACCAAGACAACGATCCAAAACATAAGGAGTATAATGTACGTAATTGGTTGCTTTACAACTGCGGAAAGGTCTTGGATACACCACCCCAAAGCCCAGATCTCAACCCAATCGAACATGCGTGGTCTTATTTAAAGAAAAAGGTTGGAAAAAGGAATCCAACCAACCGTGGACAGCTAAAAGCTTTCGTACTGGAAGAGTGGCAGAAGATACCCCTAGAGTATATTCAAAACTTGGTCAACTCAATGAAAAGAAGACTCCAACATGTACAGAATGCTAAGGGGGGCCATACTAAATATTAAGTATTTCAAAATTAGTTATAATTAGTTTTACATTTTAAATTTAGAACAATATATAAGAAGTGTGTAAAGAGTTTCTTGACAGTGTAAAATATGAGTAATCTAAGTTTTTGTTGTTTTTTAAGTTTCACCATTATTGTTTTTGTTTCTGTTTTCTATAATTTGATTTAAAAATACCTATTAAACAGTTAACCATTAAAAAAAATTAGTTAAATTAAACAAAAACTCTTTATTTTTTTACATAAAGTCAAAAAATTGAGATTTTTTCCACTGTGTAAAGTGTTTCTTGACAGACTGTACGTACATTCATAAATACATACATATGTGTGTACTTAGGCAATGTGTACGTTACTCAGCATTTTAAATTGCTAGAAACTTAGATTTTCTAAAAACGCAAAGTCATATCGGACTTTTTTTATGATCTGTTTCTAGATGCAAGTCAAAGATAAGCCAGCAGCCGATGGCTATACAGACAACTTTGTTAATTGCTAAGTAAGTATAATTAATTATAATATATAAAATTCAACTTTTATATTGCATTGTTCCTGAATACTCAATATGTATAATAAATATTTTACGTATACATATACAGTTAACTTAAGAGTGCCTGAAGACACTTATTAAATTAGCGAGTAAACTTAAAGCTTTTACATTGCTAAAATATTTTTTGGGAGTTTATAGTGAACACCAAATTACGTACGAAAGCTGCAAAAGCTCTCAAAAGCTTTCCACTGATTATTTTCGTACACACAGAACAGCTGTTTTTGCGCGCGTAAGTTTTGACCATTCGCATGTTGTGTTTTGTTTTGCTTTAGTATATGAAAACAATTTATCCCATGACTTTTTGTGAAAGTTTTGTTTATTTACAACTAAAGTAAAGTTACAGAAGAGCAATTACATAAAAGATGTGCGTTTTAGCAGCGATATAGTGATAAGTGCCTTGAGACACTTTTGGGGCTTAACGCCAACTTTTGTTGTTTCACAGCTGATTTTCGTTGGTTTTGGTTATTGCGTGATTTTTAAATAGTGAAAGAAATGTCTGATGAACAGCTGCTGGAACTGTTTGAGTCAGTCTTATCGGATGAGGAAGTCTCATGCCCATCAAGTGACGACGAGGGCTGAGGCTTGAGGAGGATGCAGACACTTTATCGTATTTTAAAAGTGCAAATGTACAAACTGTAGGACAGGAGTCTGAGCCTAGCCGAAAAACTGTGAAAAGAGCTCGATCTCCATTGCCAACTATTGAGGATTCAGCGTGTATTTCTACGCCAACTGCTGGTGGTTTTAATGATTTTGGTAAGTAAACATACTTGAGTTTTGGCGGTTTTGGTAAGTAAACGTACTTGATTTTTGGCGAAAAATTACTAAATAATATATGCATATGTGGGTATTGCATCAACATCAAAAGACCCCAGTAAGACTACGTGGCAACAGCAAAATATGCAGTTAAATGTCAACAACATAGCCTTCCGAGGAGATTCTTCGCTTCCAGCCGAAATAAGGCAGCTCGAAACACCATTGCAGATATTTGCTATTTTTCAATTCTGACATCATGAATATGATCTTCGAGTAAACCATGTGCTCAGCTTTAAACGATAATATTGGATCCCAGTTCAAAGTTAACATTGATGAGTTCTACCATTACATCGGCGTTTTGATTGTTACTGGGGAGAAAATGAATTTGAACCTATACAAGTACTTAACCCTGCGTGATGAGTGCAAGCAGATCAAAAAGGGTGAACCAGGTTACGATCCATTGTTCCGCACTTGAACATTTTCCGATTGCCTCAACAATAGATTTGACTCCGTGCCAAAGCAGGCCCGCCTTTGAGCCAGTATATACCCAATAAGCCACCAAAATGGGGTACCAAGTTATTTGTCTTATGTGATTCATTTGGTTATGCATTCCGATTTGAGATCTACAGCGGTGCAGGCAACAACGCGATCCTTCCTGGTAACCCGATCTTGATGCTGCAGCCAACATTGTTGCACGTTTAACCAAAGCCGCACCAAGTTGCAAGCACCACATTTGTATACGTCGCTGCCTTTGATGATCTATTTGTGAGCTAAAGGTATTTATAGCCTTGGAGCGATAGCACCATCAACAAAAAGCGAAGAGGTTATTCGACAGAGTACGTTGGCACCTCATATGGGATAGAAGTTAGTAATGTGCTGTGGAAAGACAACAAGGCTGTTCGCTTGGTGTCGACTTATGTGGGTATTAAACCATTTGCAAAGGCAAATCCTAAGGCTCCTCGGTATGTCAGGAAATCCCAGCGATCCCAGATGGAAGTGGATTGCCCACAAATTATTCGAGAGTACAACGCTCATATGGGCGGCATAGATCTAATGAATGGTCTAATGGGACGGTACCATGTAAGAACTAAAACGCGTGATGCCGCAACTCGAATTTTTTACCACCTGATCGATATGGCAGCCACAAATTCGTATATTTTGTACAGACGTATATAAAGATAGAATGGAAGCAATAGCAAATTACTCGAACTCCCAGACTCTGGTTTCGTTTCACAGCCAAAACATTCGGGTTCGTCCAATTAGTGCTAACACTAAACGATCTTCTCCAGGACCATCCTCTCAAAAAGACCAGACAATGCGGTCGCCAATCTCTCAGCGAACCTCACAGTTGGAGCTCAAATTTGGTCGAAAATCGAAGCATCCAATATCAGACGTACGGTTTGACCAACTGAATCATATGCCGGAATGGTTGGATCGAAATAATGGACAAAAATTGTGTAAAGACTGTAAAACTTAGCAAACTCAATGTCTTGCACAAAATGGAAACTGCATTTGTACACAGTCAACAAAAATGGTTTTTATCAATAGCATACACAACAATGAAATTTAACTTCGATTTTTGAAAATGACTTTTTTATACTCAAAGTCCCATAAGTGCCTTGAGGCTCTTAATCAGTTTTTCCCCCCTTACAGGTAAACGAAAACTGCTACGCTATTTCTGATTACATATTTGAGTTTAGAAACCACAAATCACTAGAAAAAATTCTTAGCATTTTCTTCAATTATTGTAGAAAATAGTCTTAGAGGGTTAATTAATATTTCAATAAATCTATCAATCAAATGTAGCCTTTTGAAAATATTTATATAGCTTGTTCTGATTTTTTTTCTATACAAATCTTCAAATGTTATCAGCTGATAGAAACCAGTAATAGTGGTGAAATGATTTATGATCATACAAATCGCAGACTCCGTTTTTTATATATTTATATTTAATTTGTTCTTATGCCGGCAATAAAAATTGAATTGCAAATACATTAAAAATGGTCAAGTCAGCAATGCCCGAATAGAAAATACACTGAGCACTGCACAAATTTTGTTTTCCTCATTTTAGGCATCATCACTTTATACTCAAGTTGACTGCTGATGGTTAAAAATATGTTGCACAATTTGCCCACCTAAGCTGACTCAACGTAAATATCAGTTAACAGCGGCCACTGCAGCCATGGCAACCGCACGAGTCGCAAGCTCAGCGTTATGCGAAGTCAGCCGCGGCCAACGGCCACTCCCATCAGGCTTAAGCGAATGTATATATCAGTCTTAAAGCTCAGACGTGTCACTAATAAAATAAACGGGAATAAAAAACAATTGTTTTATTCCTGCGCCTGTTGGCCAACACGTTAAGAAGCTCATCATTCTAAGAGTGTATTTAACAAGGCTAAAATAATTTAATTTAGTTGATAAATTGTAGAAAAAAGTTATTAAATAAGTTCAGTTCCAGATGCACATGATTAATGTGCCAAGATTCCAAGCCTATTAATGATCTGTTCATCAATCAGAATAACCCAGAAATGTCTCTGCTTTTAGTATTCAAGTGGGGCTTTAACAATCAACCAAAATATAAATAATTTTATGGAGTGAGATATTAAATATGAAGCCTTGAAATTAGCTTTCATACAGAGACGAATAGGTAGACAAACCAACTCATAATTCATACTCATCGAAGCCATTGTTGAGGCACGAGAATTGAGGTAACAAGTAATAGCTAAAAGGGTTCAAACCTGAAAACAGGCACAAAATGTGGTGTACGCAGGTGGTATACCAACTGTATAATTACTAATAGTCCCAAGAACTGAGGCTTGTAATATGAGATGAAAACATGTGTTAGGTAGACCAAAATAAAACCCTTCCAATGACTGGAAGAACTTGTTAGCTATGTCAAGCGAAAGTTTGAAATAATAAACTTAGTTCGACTTTAGAATTCGTCGATGAATGTCGTGAGAACGGAGACAACTTATTACACTATTCTGAATACTCAGTGGCAATAGGTTCGGTATATACTAAAGTAATATACATTAAAAATCGAACTGTTTTTCATTATATAAATGATTATGTTCAGTGATTCTGCAATGAAATGAAAGAATATCGATATGAAATAAATACTGTGAACATTAATATAATGAAATATAAGCTGGAAAAGCTTTTGCCCACACAATATGATGGAAAAGTCAAAAGGGGCGAATACGTCTAGCTAAGCTTGACAATTATAATAACAATTAACTGTCTGTCTTCATGAACTCATACTCACACTGAACATATCAAATGAGTTGCTGTTGACCTCCTTTAAAGATGGTCCCAGAAATATCTATGTGTGCTCGAGCTAGGATCACCAAAGTAAACCAATGAAAGCATAAACTTGCTATTTAAACAGTCTGTTCGTGTAAAGCGAACAGGCATTATGCAGTCTGTAACGCCCGACTTTTGGAAATGCATATGGGTAATGTGCTTTAAAGCGGGTAAAGCAGTCACACGTGTAAATAAATTATAGACTACCATACTATATGCTCTGCTCTTAATCTCTATCTATCTATCTACTAAATTCTATGCCAGCCGTAACTATTACAAATTGCACTCTTATGTGTGCTCTGATGACCGCAAAATGTAAAATGTATATATATAAATATAAATTAATGTCAGAGACATACATAATGTTAGATACCATAAGATTTGATATATATAATCTAATCGTATATTATCTTATTCCATATACCTCTAGTCCCAACCTGACGTGCACAACAAGCACCAGGATGAACTTATTCAATATTATCATAGGGTGCTGGTGGACACTCTGCATGAATTAAACTTTGGAGGTTATATTCCAACGCTTAGGCAGTTGGTATTACAGCTCGAAAATGGGAAATTCATGGGTGAGCATATCATAGTTTCAAAGAAATGAGCTATTTGAAAATATATATTATTCTAGCTGTGACCGCTTCTCTGGCTTGTCAGGCTTTTATCCTTAACGAAGAAACAGATGATGCGGATGGCAATGCTCTAATTCTTGACGATGAACGAGGTCGAAATTTTAGAAAGCGAATGTACAAAAACAAAAGGCTACAAGAAAACGTTAAAAAGTGGCTCCCTGAATTTGAACGCTGTGGACTACTTGATTTAATAGATTTAGATGTATAACAAGATGGATACAAATATAAAAATAAATCTTTACTAAGAAGAACCCGATTATCAATGGAAGAATAAGAGTGGTTTGATTTGTCTAATAACAACAGCATTGATAATATTTATTGAAGATAGATCTTCAATTTATATTTCATAGAAAGTATTAAAAACCACTCGCTTCGAAAAAGATCTTCCAAGAAATCTCTTCGATTTCTGATTATACATTGTGTAGCGGTCGTTACGACTCCGAAACGTAACTGCGATTAATTTTCGGTACCCTCTCAGCTTTCTATACTAATTTATAAATACATGCTATATTATGTTTAAAGTCGCTGTGGTGTATATACACTAGTTTGAGTTAGAGTTAATCTAAAAGTCCCAGCCCGCGTACTCCTTGACCACATCTTTGTTTTCCTTGCGATGGCGATGTACAGCACTCGCCTCTCCCTTGGCAACGCAACGCTTCCGCTGATCGCGCTTTTCCTTGATGTCCATGTTACGACGTATGCGATCTGTGATCACAGATGGAGCTATTGTGCTGGCTGTTGTGGAGAAGGAGCGCTGGCTGCGTGCATCGTTAAGCATCTGTTCAACCATCTTCAGACGGTACATACGTGAATTAGGATCCAGACCTACCAGCTCTGGAATTTCATCCGTTTCCAAATCGTTTGAGCTGATGGAACGCGCATCATCAACTGGAATAGTTGATTGTTTTGTATTTGAAGCAGAGTCAACTGTCTCTTTCACAGGTTCATTAGATTCGTTTATGTAATTGTGCGACTCTTGTTCCGAGGCAACCGGTTTTGGTGCTGTTGCTAAAGCCTGATCGGATATCTCAGGACCAACAGTCAGATTACCTAGGTATTGCGTGCACGACTCAATGTAACGCCTTATAGCATCATCCGAATTCTGATGTGTAGGCTTGGTCTCGCTGTAGGATACTTCGTTCTCCAATTGCCTGCGGCATTCATCAATCTCAGCAGCTGCAGCAGGCACCAAAATTGGCGGCTCATCGTTAGCCAGCTGTCCCTCGTCGTCCTCTTTAGTTTCTACCTCTTCAATCATACCATATTCCTGTAGCAAATCCTGTTCCATTTCCTTGGTGAAGCCATAGCCTGTGCAATGAACCTCTGCATCCAAATCATCTTCACGCACCAAATCGCTAAATTTGGGATAATCCTCGCTTTCGTAGCCAAACTTACGTCGAAACATCTCACGCACGCAAGTGACATCACGGTCAAAGAAGCTGTCAAAGATTGAGGAGCTGTTAGTACGCAATCAGATAGTTTGCTTACCACCTACAATTGAGCATTTTCATGGGCAGTGGACATCATTTGAGGAAAGTCAATAAGTATGGGTTTTCCGGCATCGGTAAGCATCAAATTAAATTCATTGAAATCACCGTGAATAACGCCCGAATTACCCAGGCGTACGATGAGATTCATAAGATCATCATAGACCTGCGGTGCATCCAGCAACTCGTGCACCTGTGTCCTGTTGTAGAATGAAAAAAAAACAACAATGGAAAACAAATTCAACTAAATCGGGTTATACTTACATTGGCCATCCGTTGACTAGCTCCATGAGCACACAGTGCCGATTGAAATCAACGGGTCTGGGTACAGGAAAGCCACGATCATACAAAGCAGACATGTAAGCAAACTCTCGGGTTGCAGAAATACGAGAGAGGTAGAGCCACGATGCTTTGTGTCGACGTCCATGATAGTCTCGCTTTGATTTAACATTGCGAAAGCAGGTGCGACCTAGGCGATGCAGCTTAAGGCAAATAGGCGTGCCCTCCTCATCGGCAACTACATATATGTTCGACTCCTTGCCAATGCCAATTTGGTTGCCAAAGGAGCTAACAGAGCCGCGTAACGTAAGGGACTTCAAGGCGAGATAGTCATAACCAGTGTTGGTTAAACGATACCCATCATCTGCAATGCACAATACAAAAATTAACTAGGAAAAAGAGATATTCTACAATTTTTCCTACACTTCTTGCCACGCTCATAAGACAGCAATTTGTGCTTGCAAAGTTCTTTTAGCAATTTATGTACGCCTCCAGTTTTAAGGTTGGCAATCGCAGCAGCCAGCGGGCCTGGTACCAATTCATGATTCTTCATGCCCATTTCGATGGCTGTTAGCACACGAAAATCTTCTTTGGTGAGATAGCGCAACACCGTAACATTTAATTTGCCCATTTTATTAGATTTTTAACAAATTGTGAGCATTTATTTTGTTTTGCGATTTACACGTGCATGCAAGATAATTACTAAGTCCGATGCATCGATATACCAGTAATATGAATATCGATAAGTACTCACAAATCAAAAGTATCGTAGAGTTATGCATTATTTTTTCGTTGACAATACTCGGTCACACTTCGTCTGGTCGTCGTGTACAAAAATCAATTACTATTACTGCTGAATCTGGCTACGAAAAGCGCTACCGCGAGTAAACAAAACGCCAGTTAAACACAATTAGCAATAGAAGTTGTACGTGTTTCTGTTATAAAATTGATTTCAATCACCATTGGCTTTGTGCTTATGTTTGTGTGTGTGCGAGTGAGTATGTGAGAGCGGGCGTGCTGTATGTGTGTGACTGCGTATGACTCGTGCTTTTCGCCGACATACAACAAAAAGAATTACTACCCAAAAAGTGGGCAGTCAACAGCCGCTTATACCATTGCTCTATTGCAATCATAAACTAAAAAAATAGTGTAAAAACTACAGCAAACTAATTTTTTCTATTATCATTGAAAATATAAGCAAGAATGCATCCTTGCCCGTGATCGCGTGTGAATGTGTGTCTTTGCATGTGTGTGTGACTGTGTGTGAAGGTTGCCTTCAAGTGCAACAAATTCAATTAAAAAAATCTAAACCGAAATTTCCCCCTTTCTCCTCTCTGATTCTTTGTTGCTCGGCACCGTTCCCCCATTCGACGAAACGACACCTGTCAAGCAGTAAATTAACGGAGCAATACATTTGGGAAAATGCAGATCAAAGAATTGTAAGTAAATTTAATGTTCATAAAAGTTATTTTATCTAATTTGTTGGTCTTACTAAACTTGCAAAACGTGTACAAGCCGCTGATTGTGATAAATCGATTTTACGCTCATTTGCTCTCAGCTGCGACGCATTCGCTCTCTTTCTATATCTCTCTTGCACTTTCGCGTGTTACTATTGTCGCGTTGCCAACCGCTCTACAATTGCTTTAATTTGTAAACTTTCTACTTTAACTCAGTTTTCCTAAAATTGTTTTATTTTTATTGTTTTCGAACAAACGTTGGCTTATCTACAAGAACCGAGAGTGTTCCGCTTTCCCAATTATTTTTGACATTACCTAATTTTTTGTTGTTTACATTGACTTCGTCGATGACGTAATGAGTGGCAACGCCAACTTCGGCCATTGAATTTTGACTCAAATATGCGCAGGTTTTTACATAGTATTATTTTCAATTTTCTTTTTTGCATATGGCAAAATGTAAAAATAAATGAAACAGATGTGCCACGTTAACAATTGCTGACGTTAGTGCTGTGAGTGCTGTAAAGTTTTCAATGTCTTCTTGTGTGACTCATTTTTTGTCAAGCAACTTTCGCTCTCGCTCACACTATCTCTGTCTCTTTCTGTCTTCTCATTTACGACTTCATATTTTGTGCAACTTTACGCGCCGGTTCCCCAGCTGCGTTATCAGCGGCAGCGCCAACAAAAGCAACGTTTTAATCAAACAAGTTGGCAATACTGATAACGTCGTCTACGGTGCCTATTAGATATGTGCATGTGCATGTGAGCTAGTGTGTGTGTATTTACTGTTTCTCTCGCGCACTCAGGCTTGTGCTAAACGCCTGATGTATATGGTATTAATTGACCAGAGGGCTATTTAGGGCATTACTTTGACAATTTAAATGCTAAATTACGTTTTCGATTATAAAGATTAGCAAATTGAACAATGCATATATATATATATATATATATATATATATATATATATATATATATATTAGTATATGCTCTGTTAAACATATATATTTATATATAAGCAACAATTTGTGTACATTAGGTATATGAGTAAATGATATTTAGTATTGCATACATAATTTAACTATAGGCACATGAAATGCATAAATAATTATAATTTAAATGTGCAAATGTATATATATATTATATTATAACACATGCGTCATTTTTTGGATAAATAAATATAAATATTTATATATATATATATATATATATATATATATATATATATATATATATATATATATATATATATATATATATATATATATATATATTTATGCTTATGTCGATTTTTGCTTTTGAAAATGCGATTGCTAAAAATAATTAAATCTTTAGTATTCTAAATGGATGTAATTTGGAATAGAAATTTGGAATTGAGCGCGCTTTGCATTAATAAAATATAAGAAAAATTAATAATAATTTTAATTAGTAATTTATTGTATGTCCAATAATTTTGTACTTTGATAGCTGTAATTATTTTCATGACTAACTATCCATCAATTCTAATGTTTTATGTTTACTGTAAGTCAGTGCAAGCATCATATAGACTTGTGCATGTTTTTCACTTGCATTGGCCGAACTTTAGCCAATTTCTGGCCATCTGGCCGAGCGGAAATGGCTAGAAATATAAATATGTATATATATGTCACACGTAAAATCTTTAAGCTGTTATACAACACTGTTAAGTACAGTTGGTATCAAAAGAAAATAAATAAGTATTCTTAACGGTAAAATTAATATTTGTGTCTTAACCTTTGAGGATTATTAGTTGTATTGAATACTTGAATCATTTTAATTTCTTGGTAATAAATTCAGCTTAAACACATTTAAACTCAAACAGGTCACAGAACCTTTTCGCAAAATAAACACTGAAGAAAAGGTGGACAAGGCTAAAAATAACGAATTAAAGCAACTAAATAATGTTTTTTCTGTTTACCACAAAAAGTAAATAGCTTTCGTTAATGAAATTTTGTGCGGGCTTGCGGGAGTCGGGAAGGCAAACGGGACGTGGGTCGTTTGCAGAGTAAGCGATATATTGGTCATTTTTTTTGTATTTGTTATCGGGAATTGTGAATGGGAATACGGTCAACAGCAATAAAAGTGACAAAGTTGAATCGAGCTCGTAAACAATGTTTAACCGCACATCAGTAATTAATTAATGATCGCGAGAATGGGGACCCGGCGCTTCAATTAAACAATCACGATTCTTGTTTATATTCATTCCGCGTGCCTATTAAAATGAATACAAAAGGGTAAATGAATGGCAAACACGTCCGCAGTCATTTAGCTTAACAAAACAAAATAGTTCTCCTCATTTATGTTCGGATTATCTGCAGCTCGAAATTTAAGTGTTATATATTTTAGATATAATAATATACTTTAGCTATTTGCAGCTGAGCACACAGGGTATGTTTTAGTCGTACACTCCCAACTAGATTATCTGATTGCCAATGGCCACTGAAATATTTACGCGCTTTCTCGCAGTGGGTGCACTTTTTGCTCATTTAAACAAAGCGTTGAAATCTTTATGTTGCAAATCGATGCAACCCAAAAAAAAACAAATGTTTTGCACAATAGCCGAATGAAAAGCAAAAAATAGGATTCAATATGTGTTCAGATTGATTTGTTTTTGAATGCCTATGCATTTATTTAGTAAACATTCACATTTATTGCGAAGTGTGCGAACATTTGGTGTAATATTTTTGTTGCTTTATTCTAATCGTATATGATTTGCCCCGAATGTTCGATATGAAGTAATGAAAGAGATTTTTCATTGAAGAGCAGTTATAAAGGTATCAATGAGATCTTACAACGCTTAAATATCGGCAGACATTTCAAAAGTAGAATTTAAAAAAAAAATGTAAGAAAAAAACATTAAGAAAGCATTTCAAGAGAAAGAAATGAATAAGCAACAAGATCAGATTTTTAGCCAATGATGTAGATATCGTTTATTATTGTTTTTTAAGTATGTGATAGGAGAGAGCTTCAACAATGTTCCACTTGCAAAACTTTGTAATCATTGTAGTAGATAATACTGTACTTTCCGATATCATCTATAGCCATATTTTTGACCCAGACTGTCATGTTTAGTTATAGTTTTGTATTTATGGCTTGCGTGACTCTATGACTTTAATAATACCTTCATTTTATAGTAGTTTGTTTCTTCTATCTGTCCCATCCTCTATCTGTCTCTCTGTCTCTCTCTCTATCTCTGTATTTATCTATTGTGTTCTTTCCATGTTGAGGTCAATTTCCAAATAGCACACGCGCTCATTTTCATGGTTGTATGTGGCTGGCACCAGAGATTAGATAAGTTGGCCAGACTGTAAACTGCTCCACTAATGGGCCCAACAGCTCCAATTTAATAGTTCAGTATTTTGTTTATGGCGTTCAATGGTCTATAAACCTCGATCACAGACAAAATGTGGGCAATAACGATTTATTGAAACGTTTAGCTGTCTAATTATTTTTAACAGAGCTAAACGTGGACTTTAAGCCAAGACATTATCATTATAGAATGATATATAAAAGAATTTAAGTTTATTAATTACTTACAGCCGCGATAAAAATTAGAATTGCACCTAGATTTTATTATTTTAAAGATGAGCTAAACTTTAAGATTTTTGCTAATAGTAAATTTCTCATTTCTGTAAATAAACCTTACCTATAGTTGTGAGCACATCACTTTAAAGTATTTGTTCTTTAATATATCCCCTTCTGTGCTTCAATTATTAAATGAAGCCAATCTCCAACGACCATTCATGTGGAATACTTAGTCCAGACCGCAAACAGACCGCACAATCAGCCGAAGCTCGGCCAAGAATGTCTCTCATCTGACCAACTAACAAACAAACAAGCCCACGCTTGCATGTGTGCACACATACAAATTCATTCACTTTCTATTTTCAATTATGCCAACAAAGCCAAAACAATGCTCTTGTATTTCGGACCTCGGCTCATTGGATCGCACTCGCCTTGCGTCTGCCACTCGTCTAACCATCCATTTTTATCTCTGGTCTCTTATTAAGAGTTCTTCAGTATTATTATATTTTATATGATATTTTCCCCCTTTTACGCGCTCGTGACAGTTGAAGCACATCACAGCAATTTCCAAAGTGCCTCCCACATGTTTTTATTCTGTCTTTCTTTTGTAAAATTTGTTCATGTGTGTCATATATAGTATTACATTACAGTAC